GCCATCGCGTGCCAATAGCAGGGGGGAGTGCGGTGGGGTCACGCGCACATGTGCCCACATCCATAATTCTAAGCGCCCTGCCCCCCCCCCCTGCCCCCCTTTTTGCCACATGATGGTCCGGCAGGCCCGCCTTTTTTTTGCTCTACCCAGGCTCCAGAGCCTTTCTAGGAGCCTGGGGAGGGCAAAAACAATCTCCCCCCCCCCCCCCAAGGCCCTCCAGAGGCCAGAAACAGCCTGTTTCCCGATCTCTGGTAGGCCCAGAAAGCCCAAAAATCAGCAGGCCGGCGCGCACATGCGCAGTACAGCTGAGGTAGGGCAACGCTCGCGTGCCCACCAATATGGCTCCACGTGTCACCTGTGGCACGCGTGTCATAGGTTCGCCATCACGGCACTAGACCAATCACTAGGGAATGAATGTAAATTAGTTTTGAAGTGATTTTTTTCCTCAGCTCTAGCCTCTCACCCACATGAAAGAACTGTGAGTTCAAGGTAAATAATGTTTATATTAAACACACTGCATAATATTTCATGCACTACGGAACTTCTGGTAGGAATGACTTTAAAAGTCCTTTTACAGGAGGTCCCATTTCCCCACCCAAACTCTCAGGCAAAGTCATGTTTATATTAAATACACTGGCTGATGTTTTATGTCCTTCTGAGATTCTGCTAGGAGTGAATTTAAATGATTTTTGAAGTCATTGTTAGAAATGTCTTTGGAAGAACTGGAACTTCAAGGTGATTAATGTTATAATAATTACATTGGATGACTGTATCAAATGCTTTCTCTGTAACATCAAATCCATAATATACGTGCTATTTGGTTTGGCTGCTCTGCAAGTAAAATTAAACCCAAGAAATGTTATTTATTTTTTTCTGAAACTACAGTTATTTCTCTTTATATTAGACAGAACACTATAGCTATTCTATCAATCTTGGTGGAGTATATAGAATGTAGTAAGCCTTCTCCATCCCTCGGTTTAAAATTGTGAGGTTTTAAAGAATGGACAACAGAATTAAAGGTGCCTTGAGAGACTCTTCTTTAATGTCATTGGCATCGGGTTACGAAGTGTACACTATTTTACTACGCTTGTGTAAACATCACAGGTGAAGGGTGGAAAAATGTCCGTGTTTTAATATCCATGCCTCTAGCTCAAAATGTATTATCTATAGAACAGAGAATAACAGAGTCGGAAGGGCTCAAGCAGGAGGTAATATATCATTCCAGCCAGTGGTAAAATCCATTTTTTTTTACTACCGGTTCTGTGGGCGTGGCTTAGTGGGCGTGGTGTAGCTTGATGGGCGTGGCTCGGTGGGCGTGGCAGGGGAAGGATACTGCAAAACCTCCATTCTCACCCCACTCCAGGGGAAGGATGCTGCAAAATCCCCATTCCCTCCCCACTCCTGGGGGAAGGATATTGCAAAATCTCCATTCCCACCCCATTCTGGGGCCAGCCAGAGGTGGTATTTGCTGGTTCTCCGAACTACTCACAATTTCCGCTGCCGGTTCTCCGAACTGCTCAAAATTTCCGCTACCGGTTCTCTGAACTGCTTAAAATTTCCACTGCCGGTTCTCCGAACTGCTCAAAATTTCCGCTACCGGTTCTCCAGAACCTGTCAGAACCTGCTGGATTTCACCCCTGATTCCTGCTAGCTGTCCAATCTCTTCTTAAAAGGCTCCTGTGATGGAGCAACCCACAACTTCTGAAAGCAAGTTGTTCAACTGGTTAATTGCTCTGACTGCTCAGGAAATTTCTCCTTAATTCTAGGTCACTTCTCTCTTTAATGATCTTCCACCCGTTACTTCTTGTCCTGCTCTCAGGTGCATTGGAGAATAGTTTGAAACCCCCCCCCCGGGTGACAACTATCGTGTTTTCCTGAATATAAGACCGTCTTATATTTTTTGAACCCCAAAATAAGTGCTTGGCCTTATTTTTGGGGAGGTCTTATTATTTTGGGGCGCATGGAGCAAGACGGGGCTCCTCTTGCCATCTTACCTGTTATTCAGCTCTGTCTCCCTAAACCTAACCAGAGGAAGTGGCGGGGACCATCTGCGCATGTGGTTAAATATTTTTGGGGAGGGGTTATTTTCAGGGAGGGCATATTTTAGTGCATGCGCTCAAAAGCCTGATTGGGCTTATTTTGGGGGAAACACGGTAGAACAGGGGTCTCCAACCTTGGCAACTTTTAAGACTTGTGGACTTCAATTCCCAGAATTGTGGCTGCGGAATTCTGGGAGTTTAATTTAATTTAATTAATCATATTTCTATGCCGCCCAACTCCCATGGGAGTTGAAGTCCACAAGTCTTAAAAGTTGCCAAGGTTGGAGACCCCTGACCTAGAACACGATATAGTGCTGCAAATATCGATAATATGCATTTTTGGGAGCTGCTGGTGTCATACGCATCACCAGTGGAAGCAGGAAATCTTTCTGCTTTACAGGAAGTAAAATGTCTAAACAGTTTTTTTTTTCCAGAAGTCAGCACTGTCATTCGGAAACGTTGTCTTGGCAAGCTGCGGGCCCTGTGATGAGTAACGCTCAGCAGACCTTAACACAAAAGAAGAAATAGAGGCCTATCTGATTGCATTCGTTGTTTCCGCTGCTCCTGCCCGCTCCTATCACTTTCTAAACAAATGGAAGGGCAGAAGGTAATTAAGTAATGGCTTTATAATCGGGCTAAGCCGTAGATGTTGCAATGCAATGAAAGTCAGTACATTCCTCTCTAGCACTCTCGGTGTACATTGCCAAATGTTAAGTGTGTTCTGATAGATATCTTAATATTACAAAATGTGCTGCGTGACACATTTTAGGAATCACAGAGGAGAAGTTCACCTCTGCTCTGCTTTCTAACAGCTAGAAACTTCAGGAGTCACAAGGTAAGTTTGTTTATTGTCTATCTGTCTATCTTTCTATCTATCTATCTTCTATCTATCATAGTTGATAGATACATGACAGATAAAAGGCATATAGATCTTTCACATATCTATTTATCTATCTGTCTGTCTATCACCTGTCTTTTATCTATCACCTATCTATCTATCTATCTATCTGTCTATCTATCTATCTATCTATCTATCTATCTATCTATCTATCTATCTATCTATCCTCTATCTATCAGTTGATAAAAGGCATATAGATCTGTCACATATCTATTTATCTGTCTATCATCTGTCTTTTATCTATCACGTATCTATCCATCTATCATATATCTATCTTTATATTTTTAATATATTATATATATATATATATTATATATATATATATATTATCACATATCTATCTATCTATATCTATCTATCTATCTATCTATCTATCTATCTATCTATCTATCTATCTATCTTCTATCCTCTGTCTGTCATAGTTGATAGATACATGACAGATAAAAGGCATACAGATCTGTCACATATCTATTTATCTGTCTGTATGTCTGTCTATCATCTGTCTTTTATCTATCACGTATCTATCTGTCTGTCTTTTACCTATCACATAACTATCACATAACTATCTATCTATCCATCCATCCATCCATCTACCTACCTATCATCTATCTATCTATCTATCTATCTATCTATCTATCTATCAATCTATCATCTATCATCTCTCTATTTGCATCCCACCTTTATTATTTTTACAAGTAACTCAAGGCGGCAAACAACTCAACATACCGTCGTCCTTCCAGCCAATTTTCCCCACAACAACCCTGTGAGGTGGGTTGGGCTGAGATGGATTTGCCCAAAGTCACCCAGCTGGCTTTCATGCCTAAAGCAGGACTAGAACTCACCGTCTCCTGGTGATTGGCCCAAAGTAACAGTAACAGAATTGGAAGGGACCTTGGAGGTCATCTAGTCCAACCCCCTGTTCACGCAGGAGACCTATACTAGGGATTGGAACCGCCGAACTGCCGACTTTTCTGATCGACAAGCTCAGCGTCTTAGCCACTGAGCCACCTAGCCAGGCTAGAATTCACAGTCTCCTGGTGATTGGCCGAAAATCACCCAGCCAGCTTTCATGGCTAACCGAGGACTAAAACTCACGTTCTCCTTTTCTTGCCTGGTGCCTTAACCATTACACCAAACTACCTAGTTCCAATATAAATACCTTGCAAGTATTATTCATTAAATTGTTTTATGATCTGTCTCTATAGATACACTCCCAATTTCACCGCACTTAAATGTTTTTTAGTTTACCTGCACAGATATAGAACGACTGAAATTTGCTTGTGGAGAAAAACGTCACACTCCATTTGCTTGTGGAGAAAAATGTCACACATGGAGCAGTGGGATGTTTCATTTTCTATGGAGATGCTCAGTCATCCAGGTCATGGTTGTCCCAAAGGTGCTTTTTTCAAAAGGCAACTTGACTTCATTTTTGTTTTTTCTTGAAGACATTTCACTTCTCATCCAAGAAGCTTCTTCGGTTCTGATTTCTGATAGAACTTCTGACAGAACTTCTGACAGAACCGAAGAAGCTTCTTGGATGAGAAACGAAACGTCTTCAAGGGGGGGAAAAAATCCAGTTGCCTTTTGAAAAAAAAAACACACCTTTTTTGGGGGGGACCTTTTTTTTGTCACCTTTGGGACAATCAAGTGTTTCCAACCATAGGATCTTGCTAACATTTCCATTTTTTCTGAATTGTGGGCTTTTCTCTTAATGCAAATTTCCTCATCAACGTATAGCTGTAAAAAAAAATAATAACCAGGTTTTTCTCTGAGGTAAATTCCGCTCCTTTTCCTTGGTATAAAATTGTGAGGGGGGAAAAAAACATCATCAACCTTAAATCTTAAATGATTTAAGAAAATAAATAAACCTTAAATGATTTTTTAAATGTTATCTAATTCTGGGTTTTATTTAATTGACCAAACTAAGTAATAATTTTAATTAGCAATTTTATGATGTTTGTGTGTCTATATTTTTCTTGACTGTACACCGCCTTGAGTCCTATGGGAGAAAGGCGGTATAGAAATATAATAAATAAATAAATAAATAAATAAATAAATAAAAATCATTGGTTGACATCTTTATTGAAGCATTGAAGTTTAGTTGATTCCTTGTAGAGTGAAAGTTTACAGACAGTTAACAAGAGTTGTGGGGTCATAAATTGTGTTGCCGGTGGGAGGTACAGGCAGTATCCAAGATACAGAATGAAACCCCCCCATCCTAAAAAAAAAAAAAAAAGGAAACAAACCACAAAGAAACACGAAGAAGAAAACGTTCCACTGTTTACAAATCACTCCATTACTACAGAGAGCAAATGGCAGCTACTGTAAGTAACGCATCCGCGGAGGACGGCTGTACTTTTCAACAAGGAAACAGGAGCTTCTGTTTTGGTGACGGGTTACCACAAACAATGATTAACAGGTAGACAAAGAGAAGGAATGAAGGACATCATGGTCTCGTACAATGGCTGTTGAGATTATATTTGTTTGAGTCCGGCATTTCTTTGCTTTGCGTAAGTTGTGCAGGCGTCACCTGCAAAATGTCCTGACGGTTAACGCAGTGCCATCGTGCTCAAGTCGCAGAAGAGGATACAAAGAGGACGAGAATAACTTAATCATATAAAATATGATACAGAGCCAAAATACAGTGCATTTAAATACTGAATTGTACTTAATATTGTAGTTTTCGGACGTTAAATATTAAGTCTTTTTTTGTGCTTACGCATTTGTTTTTCTTCTTCTTCTTTTTCCTCCTGTTCAAAACAGTCGCTTTACTTCCAATACTGCCACTGTAACTGGTATTACAACAGAATCACAATTTTTTTTTTTCACAGACACAACAACATTCAAAAACATTTACCTATGAGAAAAATAAGTCGCTTCCCATGAGGATCACAGTGCGGGAAAAAACAAAACAGGGCGTAACTTTCTGCCTTGAGGGAGGCTTTCAAAATATACCTCCAAGAAGGGAAAGGGTCGGATGTGCGTGTGGAGAGAAAAAGTCCTCGTAAATCAAATTTTCAGGGTTGTTCGGTTGTGGGGGGATTGAAAGCAAAATGTCACAGGTCGGGAAAGAAGGAGGGGGGGGGGAAGGAAAGTCATGTCTTGCTCTTCACGGGGACCGCCTGAGAAGTGAACGTCGTCTTCTGTTGTAGAAATGCCTGAGCCCATGTTGCCGTGAAAAATTCATCATGTAATTTTGTTTGCGAGTGCTGCACAATGGAAAGAAGGACGGGAGAGAAGAGCGTCACTGGCTTTCGACCGCGAGTTTGGCGTTCACAATTCACAACGCAAAGACCCCGCGCAAATCCTTCGACCCCAACACGAACGTGGCCTTTAAAAGGGATTCCTTTAAGACAAGGGAGCTCCTCGGCTTACAACCATTTGTGGAGCGACCGTTCCCAGGGACTGAAACGGCAACGAAAGAAAGGGACCTAGATAGTGGTGGGCTGCACCCGGTTTGGTGATCGTGTGCATCGTGTGCGCGCCTAACGCACTTGTGCGCAGCGTTCAAAATACACCAATTTGAAGCTCAGCTGCTTACCTTTTAAGGCAGCCCCAGTAAGTAGAACAGGGGAGGCGCGAAAATCAGATGTGCCGCGCGAATCAGCTGAGCCAGAAAGGAGGAAATATAGGACAGGATAGGGTGGGCGGGACAGCTGATTGTCAGAACTACAGATTCACCCGAACCGGTCTGAACCGGCAGCAGCTCACCACTGGACCTAGGATTGATTTTCACACTTAGGACCGTGGCAGAATCCCCCCATGGTCACCCGATCAAAAAAATCGGGTGGATGTATTTATGACCGTTGCAGGTCAGGGGATCACTATTTGTGACCTTCCCAGCCGTCTTCCGGCAAGCAAAGTCGTGATTCCCTTTTAACGACAGCATGATTCACTTAACAACGGCGGCCGTTTGCTTAACGATTGTGGCAAAAAAAAACAAACAGAGCAAAACTCACTTAACAACTGCCTTAGCAGCAGAAATTTGGGGCTCGATGGCGGCCATAAATCAAGGATTATCTGTAAAATTCTTATCACTCTGTTTTATTACCCATTTATTGAGTGCTTATGCTACCGTGTGTTTCAAATGACACTTCTGACCTGCTGTGACTCTTTTATCAGTTATGTTCTTTGAGCTGAACTTAAGCAAGCTAATTTCTTCAAATTTAAATATGCTGCATTTATAATTAACCCTTGCTGGGATTTCACTGCAATTCATTTCAGAAACTGAGCAAAAGCTTTTCATCAGTTATCACCTCCTGACCTCAGATCTAATGATTGCAGATTCATTCATACAGATTCATGGTTGAAACATACTAGGGAATAAATCAAATTGCTAAAGAGAGAGTGAAATATAGGGAATATAAAAGAATAGTGGACTAAACATATAATGGGCAAATAATGATGCCCAACATTAAGCTACTTACTTCTACCCTCCAGCCTGACTTTGGAGCAACACACATTGATTTAATTGTAGTTATTGTAGGTTGGTGGTGACTGGTGCGGTGGCCTAGAGGTGGAGCTCTCGCCTCACAATCAGGAGGCCGTGAGTTTGATCCTAGGTAGAGGCAGATATTTCTCTCTCTGGGCACAATGAGAATGTATCTGCTGAACAAAACTCCACATTGGCAACAGGAAGGGCATCCGGCAGTTCAAATACTCTGCTAGCTCCATTCAGTTGCCCAGACTCCATCCTGCAGGGGATTATGGGGGTCGTTAATTGATGATGATTGACTGTAGGCTGGTGGTAACATTGATGTTTGCACAGTGGTGAAATGTAAAATTTGTTACTACCGGTTCTGTGGGCGTGGCTTTGTGGGGTGGGGTGGGGATTAATGTGACTGGGTGGGCGTGGCCAACTTTATTTTTTACTTTTTTAAAGCATTTTTTTACAACCTATTCGGGTGAATAGGTTGTAAAAAATGCTTTTAAAAGGTTAAAAAAAAGGTTCTGACGATCGCGCGCCATAGCTGTGATCGTCAGAGCCTTTTTTTTACCTTTTAAAAGCATTTTTTACAACCTATTTGCCCGAATACCGCTTCCGGAGAACCGGTAGTAAAAAAATGCTAAAAAAGTTTTTTAAAAAAAGTTCCGACAATCGGGCGTCTCGCTCAGCTGATCGTCAGAACTTTTTTTTTTTACATTTTTTTTTACTACCGGTTCGGCGAACCAGTAGCCTTTTTTACTACCGGTTCGGGCAAACCGAATTGAACTGGGAGCATTTCACCCCTGTGTTTGCAGTTGACTTAAGTAGATACGTTCTAAAAATCGGCAGCAGCTATCACGACTGAAGTATCTTCTACATTATTCGTAGGCATCCAGTTTTATAAATCTCACTTTATTTATTTAGTTGTTTGGGAAATGGCCCAGGTAGATACACAGGTAATCCACAATTTACGACCACAATTAAACCCCAAATTTCTGTAGCTAAGCGAGACGTTTGTTAAGTGAGTTTTGCCCCATTTTACGACCATTTCTTGGCACGGTTGTTAAGCGAATCACTGCAGTGGTTGAATTAATAACCCGGTTGTTAAGCGAAACTGGCTTCCCCATCGGCTTTGCTCATCAGAAGGTTGCAAAAGAACATCACGCAATCTCCAGGACATTCTGACTGTCATAAATATGAACCAGTTGTCAAGCATCTGAATTTTCATCATGTGACCCACAGGGATGCTGCAACGGTCGTAAGTGTGAAAAACGGTCATCAGTCAGTTTTTTTCAGCGTCGTTGCAACTTTGAACGGTCACTAAACGAAACGTTGTAAATCGAGGACTACCTGTCAAATCAACCTTTGCTGAAATTATGGCCGCAAAAGTTAATTCCTGTGCCATGCAGCCTTTTAGCCTCTAGATGGCAGTCTAATCCTGCAACTGAGTGGCCAATTACAGATTGGCTGAATTCTGTGATCTCTTCAATGTGTAGTAAAAGACATTTGCCATGCTAAGAAATCAGATTTCACCTTTACACCCACTTGTGTGCAATGCAGTCTTATTTTAAGCTACAAATGAAAGTGGCACTCCCTAGTTGACTTAGCAGAGGATAAAGGAAAGACATTCTGGGATCAGATTCAGATTTACAGTAGTGGCCAAAATTGTGGGAACCTTTTGGGAAAAGTGTATTTTTGAGGTTTGATGGCTAATAAAACCAATTTTTGTTTGGAATTTAAAGATAATCCTATTCCACTACTGGAATGGCCTGGGAATAGCCCAGACCTTAACCCAATTGAAAATCTATGGAGCCGACTAAAGAAACTGGTTAGTCAGAAGCGACCCAGCAATAAAACCCAGTTAACAGAAGCCATCATTCAATCTTGGTTTCACGTGATAACAGCTGCAGAACTAAAAGACTTGGTTCACTCCATGGGAAAACGTTGTAAGGCCGTCATTCATGCTAAAGGTTACCCAACTAGGTATTAACTGACATGGTGATAATTTTTTCATATCTCGTTTTTTCTGATAATTTTTGTATATCTCGTTTTTTCTACGTGTTTCACTTTTCTTCTTTATGCCGTTAACTGCCATTCTAATAGCAAATCCTTCATAAAAGTTATTGCATTACATCCTTGATTACATTATCTTTCCATTGATATATAATTTTATGGTATACTACTGCAAAAAAAGTGGTGTTATTAGCTAGTTTTAGAAAATACACTTTTCCCAAAAGGTTTCCACAATTTTGGCCACTACTGTACATCTCTCCTGCTATAAACTAACCTGTTCTCCACTAACAGACCCCCATGGGGACCCCCAGAGGAATTTTTGGAGTATTTGTAAATCGAAATTCTCCAATCATAGGATAAACTGCTGGCTAACTCCTAGACGGGTGTTTCTCAAACATGGCGACTTTTAAGACCTGTAGACTTCAACTCCCAGAATCCCCCAGCCAGCCATGATTTTAATTAACATTTGCAAAAAAATCCTCTTCAAAATTAGTGAGGTAAGTAAGAAAGTAAAACTCTATTAACAGTCATGGACCAAGATCAAAATAACTAAACTTTAGTGTTGGCTGAAAAGTCCGTAACATTTGTAAAAGGTAACAGTAAAGGTTCCCCTCGCACATATGTGCTAGTCGTTCCAGACTCTAGGGGGCGGTGCTCATCTCCGTTTCAAAGCCGAAGAGCCAGCGCTGTCCGAAGACGTCTCCGTGGTCATGTGGCCGGCATGATTAAATGCCAAAGGTCCACGGGACGCTGTTACCTTCCCACCAAAGGTGCTCCCTGTTTTTCTACTTGCATTTTTAATGTGCTTTCGAACTGCTAGGTTGGCAGAAGCTGGGAGCTCACCCCATTACGCGGTGCTAGGGATTCGAACCGCTGAACTGCCGACCTTTAGATCGACAAGCTCAGTGTCTTAGCCACTGAGCCACTGCTCAGTGTCACCACACAGTAACATTGGACCCTGTGCTAATTTTGTAGATTGAGGGGTCTACACCAATGAAGAATGTGCAATTGTATGTAACTACTAGACAAGGGGTCAGCAACCCACAGCTCTGGAGCCGCATGTGGCTCTTTCATCCCTCTGCTGTGGCTCCCTGTCGCTGGTCGGCGCCACAATTTTGAGAGGAGCTTCTGGTTGGGGGGGGGGGGGTAAAGCATGGCGTGCCAGGAGGAGACTCTATGGCAAGGGGCGGGTTTTCCGGTTGGCTCCACAATTGATAGGACTTTCGGTTAGGACAGGTAGAGGAAAAAGGACACCGCACTAGGAGGAGACTCTATGGTGGGGGAACCAGATTTCCGGTCGGCTCCAGAATTGAACCGGGGGACTCCAGTTAGGACCTTTGTGGCTCTTTGAGGGTTTAAGGTTGCCGACCCCTGTACTAGACCATCTGGAAAAGGGCTGAATTGCAGGCTGAACTTCTGCAATTCTGGTTCTGCATCTTGGTATCTTTTGGACGGAAATGTGAAACCTGCTCAGGGTTAAATTTAGGTCTTCTAATCTCGGGGACCTCTGTGTATGAGCAAGCCACACTTGCAGGTCTAACAAAGTGGCATTACTTTGGAAATATAGCAGGATTCCACTCCCAGCTAAATCCAGAGAAGAGAATTGGCAAGTCCAACTTCTGAGTTGGAGCACCTTCCTTAAATGCTTCTATTTGGCCAAAGATATCTGCAGATGTTTCTTCTGCAGTCCTTTGTCATTGACCGAATAAATATTACCAACCGACTGACTGATTGGCAACACAGCTACTTTTCTGCCTCCTGAGGGAAGGTGTAAAAAAGATGTCCTAGCTGTCAATGTGCTACTCAGGGTACTGTGTAGGGGCTACACATGTGCAGCTCTATCAGCTCCTGTGGTGGCACAGTGGTTATAATGCAGTATTGCAGGCTGCCAACTGCCAGCAGTTCAATCCTGACTGGCTCAAGGTTGACTCGGCCTTCCATCCTTCCGAGGTGGGTAAAATGAGGACCCAGATTGTTGGGGGGGCAATAGGCTGACTCTGTAAACCGCTTAGAGAGGTCTATAAAAGCACTGTGAAGCGGTGTATAAGTCTTAAGTGCCATTGCTATCTAAGCCGTGGTGGCGCAGTGGTTAGAATGCAGTATTGCAGGCTAATTCACTGCTCACCGCCAGCAGTTCGATCCTGACGGGCTCAAAGTTGACTCGGCATTCCATCCTTCCGAGGTGGGTAAAATGAGGACTCAAGATTGTTGGGGGCAAGATGCTAACTGTGTAAACCGCTTAGAGAGGGCTGTAAAGAACTGTGAAGCGATATATAAGTCTCCGGCTATTGCTATTTTCGGAGCATGAGGAACAGGGGGGTCTATCGTGAAGAGGGAATAGTGGGCTTCCGTCAATTTTGGGGCGAAAATATTATGGAATTGGTGTTCCACTACCTTCATCGCAGGTGGTTCTTTTGACCTACAGCTTCCTGTGGTCTCTTAGGCCTGATCTGACCTCTGCTTAGCTTCCGAGGTCAGAGAAGGTCAGTCAGAAGAAACCTGTTGCTGTGGTGTACAACAGATAGATCCTAAATAATTTCTCTGATGCAGTTGACTTCTTATTGCTCTCTTAATCTGATTCCTCTCCTTTGAAAGTGAGAAATCCCGTTGTTTTCCTTTTGAATTTCGGTAAACGTCGAACAGATCCAACCCAACAGCTTTCAAAACGTATTGCAAAAATTCCAATTATTTGACATGCGGGTGTCTCGAGCCCCAGAGCAACTCAGAATCACGATTACCCTTCAGGTAAGACTTTCAGGGAAAAGAGAGCTGGAGTTGGCCGACTTCAGCTTTAAATCAGACAATATCAGCATTAAGTGAACGGAATGACAATTGCGAAGATGGGGGCTGCACTGATATTGCAGGAATGAAATCACTTACCTTACTCTAGTGTAAAACCAATGACAGCAAATAATGAAATACAACACAAATTAGAAAATGTATTTCAATGCATGCAGGACTGTGATTAGTCATAAAAGCTTGATGAGGTTTAGAGGCAATATAGGATCTTTCATCTCTTTTGAAAATAAAAATTGAACAAATTACTTTCCGGTTGAAAGAAAGTAGATCTCTGTAGTCGCAATCATTCAAATCCTTTTTTATAACCACGTCTTAAATTATATTTCAGAAATAAGACTTATAATATATAAAAAAAAGTTGCACAAATAATGGGCAAGCTAGCACAAAGCTGCAAAAAATGTAACATTTTTTTTTCTAAGTTGAAATAAGTAATATCTAATATATATATATATAGAATAAATAATTATTTTGGATTATATATCAATTATATACGATTCTGGACTAAAGAGATGAAGCAAAGGAAGATAGGCATTTACATGAACGTACATTACTACTGATAAGATATTTCAAAAAGATCTTTCCCCAGAATTTTTGCAATCACTTAAACCTTTAAAATTCTTGTGCCAAAAGATATGATTTTTTATCATGAAAAGCATGGTGACGACGTATATATATATATCTAAAGATTAACGGCATGCCTCTTATTCAAAATATTGTGATTCCAGCATTCAGTTTCATGACAAATAATATAAAAAATATTTTGGAGCTTGGTCTCAGGTTTCTGTGCAGTTCATATTTTGGTGCAATTGCAATTACCGTTAGGAATGGGAAATGAAACCTCAGCTGGTCTGTTAATCTCTTTTTGTCTTAATAAAGATATTAAGCACAAATATTTACATTTTATATTGAAATACTTCTAATGGAAATAATCAGAAAGGAGTGCTGGCATCTTCTCTTAAGCAGGCAGGGTGTGGTTTTTCATTGGGGAATGACCGACATGCACAGCGAGTATCACTTTTGATTGTAAAAACTTTTTACAGAATAGATACACAAACACAGAGAAGAAATAATTTAGAAAAAAGGAGGTGTTTCTATAGATCAGGGGCGTCAAAACTCAAGGCCGGTCCTAGCCTGCGGAATGCTTAGATCTGGCCTGCGGGGCCACCCTGGAAACAACGAAGCACTAGTCCGTGGTGCCTCCGCCGGCAAAAATGGAGATCGCGAGGGCTGCTCGTGGTCCTCCCAGGCTCCGTTTTTGGTCGTGGTGGCCTCCTGCAGCCCTCTGCCAATGAAAACGGAGCTCAGAGCCTCAGCGAGTGATGTCGAGCAGTGGTGGGTTGCTACCAGTTCGCCCCGAATCGGGCAAACCTGTAGCGGCAGCGGTGGGAGGCTCCGCCCACCACCCAGATGCTTCTACACATGCGCAGAAGCATCGCGCATGAGCACCCATGAACAAACCGATACCAACGGGTTTTGAAACCCGCCCTGATGTCGAGCCAGCCACCCCTCCGGCCACACCCCCTGGCCAGGTCCCCCGCCCCCCCCCCCCGAGGTCAAACATAACCATGATGTGGCCCTCAATCAAATCGAGTTTGACACCCCTGCTATAGATGAGCTGCAGGTTCCCATTACTTTAATCAAAGTGATGAAAGCAGGGTCTTCTCATCCTGCTCCTAGCTCCACCCCTTTGAGATATGCGGGTGATATCACAATGCCGTATACAAGAGAGGAGGGGCTTGCATTGCAATGGCGGGATGCTTGCTTTCATCAGGCTGATTTGTTTGGCTCCCCCACCCCCACCCCGGGGATGCTGCTGAGTATTTGTTTGTAACGTTAAAGATACAGTAAGCTAAGTATACCGCTAAAGAGCTTTCTCCAACGAACTGTTCTGCAATCAGAAATGCCTTTAAAATAAAATCTCTTGAAAGCCTCTATAATTTTAGTTTAAAAATTAACTTCAACAAATCAGCCATCAATCCTACTTAAATATGACTTAATGCAATGTTGGTTTCAAGCAATTTTCTTAATTTTTTGTTAGCAGAGCTGGAGGATATTACTAGATATTAGATTGATCAATTGCCTTCTGTCTATTTATCATGGTCTGTCTTGTCTCTCTATCTGTCTCTCTTAGTTATCTGTCTGTCTGTCTGTCTATCTGTCTGTCTCTCTCTCTATCTAATCTATCCATCCATCTATCCATCCATCCATTGATGCATCTGTCTGTCTGTCTGTCTGTCTGTCTGTCTGTCTGTCTGTCTGTCTGTCTGTCTATCTATCTATCTATCTATCTATCTATCTATCTATCTATCTAATATATCCATTCATCCATCTATCCATTGATCTATCCATCTATCTATCTGTCTGTCTGTCTATCTATCTATCTAATCTTTCCATCCATCCATCCATCCATCCATCCATCCATCCATCCATCCATCCATCCATCCATCCATCCATCCATCATCCAATCTATCTATCTATCTATCTATCTATCTATCTATCTATCTATCTATCTATCTAATCTAACTTTGTCTGTCTGACTACCTATCTATTTATTGTCTGTCTATCATCTATCTATCATCTCTCTCTCCCCCTCCCTCTCCCCCTCCCTCCCTCCCTCCCTCCCTCCCTCCCTCTCTAATCTCTTCTAAGAAACATGCCTCAATTTGAACTCTTGAGCCCAAATTTCATTTGTAAGAATACTAGATACTTATTTGTTAAATCAGAAAAATGTTGAAGATGTTTAAAAGATACATAGCAAGTGGTAATATATTAACTCTTTTGCTTGGTATTTTGAATAAGGTTGTTTCTAACTTTTCTCTAATGGTTATTCCACCCCCTGCCCCGAAAGCTAAGAACCAAAGTTGATTCAACTGAGGTATCCAGTCAAAAACGGAGGCCTGTTTTACTAGAGCCCAGCATTCTAAAGATTCTAGCTCTAATTCACATTCAAAGCCCATCCCAGGTAGTCCTTGACTTATGACCACAACTGGGTCCAGAATGTCCATTGCTAAGTGAGGTGGTTCTTAAGTGCCCAATGTTATGACTGTTTTTGCCACAGTTGTTAAATGAAGCAGATGGTCGTTAAGCAAATCCAGCTTCTGCCATTGCTGGTTGGAAGCCAGCTGGGAAGGCCGCAAATGGCGATCATTTATGAACCTGGGATGTTGCGACCATCGTAAACTCATGTTGCCAAGAGCCATGTCCATGGAGACACTGCAATGGTTATTAAGTGTGAGGACTGCTCACAAATCCCTTTCTTCAATGCCGTTGCAACTTCTAACGGTCACTAAATGAAGGGTTGTAAGGCCAGGACTACTTGTACTAGAAAATCTCAGCCGTAGATAATATCTCTCTCTTTTTTTAAAAAAAATCCTTCTATGGCTATACAATCCTGTGGACAATCTGCCCTCTCCTTTTTGTGTGTGTGTTGGTGCGAACGTGACAAATTCAAAGGAACAAGTCTCTGGCGTTACTTGAGCCTGTGGCTCAAAAGTTATTAGAAAAAAGAGTTGGCACCACCCGCTCGAACATTCTGTATGTCTTTTATATGGCCCTTCTTTTTCTTCTCTTTACCTATGTTTAGATTAGTCTGGGAAGTGGTCCAAGAGATGGAAGAATAGAGAGGATTGTTAACTGCAATCCAAGCCGTGTTCCTGACTGATAAAATCAATAGTGAACCACTTTACGAGCCCGCTGTGATAATTGTCTCCGACTCATCATGATCTTCCGATCCCAAAGTAAAAGATAATAATAAGCTACGCTGCAAAATTACAAGAAGTGAATTGCATTCCAAGGCTGGCATACGCGTCCCTCTCTCTCTCTTTGCCAACCTGCTCTATTGGGATAAAAGCAACAGATAAAATATCAAGGCATGATAGGCAAATATTTTTAAGACAGACAAAGTTGAACAAAGCAGTTGCTTTTATCCCAAAAGCACGATGCGTTTTTCTACAATTTTTATATTGTTATGATAAACTCTGAAGCTCACTTGGGGTTGCGTGGTAAGCTGTATAAACTGAATAAAAATTTATAGATAGCTAGTGATACAGGGCAACTGAAAAAAAATTTAATCTCTTTTATAATGTGTTTTAGAGAAAGAAAGAGACAGAGAGTGCATATATCACCGAATAACTTTAATCTGTTTTATGATGTGCTTTAAATAGATATAGATGATAGATAGATAAGATAGATATTGATCAATAGACAGATAATAGATAGATAGGTAGGAAGGTAGGTAGATAGATAGATAGATAGATAGATAGATAGATAGATAGATAGATAGATAGATAGATATACAGAGAGAGAGAGAATGATAGGATGATAGATAGATGATATCAATAGATATAGATGATAGATAATAGATATTGATCAATGGATGATAGATAGATAGATAGATATAGATGATAGATAAATACAGAGAGAGAGAGATGATAGATAGATGATAGATGATATAGATATATAGATGATATAGATGATAGATGATAGATATAGATAGATAGATAGACGATAGATAGATAGATGATAGATAGATAGATATAGATGATAGAAAGAGAGAGAGAGAGAGATGAGAGGGGGGGCAAGCGTATAACTGAATAATTTTAATTTGTTTATGATATTTTTATTTGTAACCCAAACTAAAGGGCTCTTTATCAAGAAACATAATACAAACAAAACTTTGATAGGTTTGCATGTTGGTCTTAGGTGTAAAAATTCAATTTCTCCCCCATTTTCTTTCATTCTTTTTTTTTTCTTTCTACATCTTGCTTAAGTCATAATACTCTAGGTGTAAAAGTTTCCCCTGTCCAGTCCTGTCCGTCTCTAAGGGGACAGTACTCCTCTCTGTTACTGAGCTGAGGAAGCCAGCATTGTCCAAAGACACTTCCAGGGTCATGTGGCAAGCATGATTATACCGTGGTGCATGGAATGCTGTTTCTTCCCCACCAAAGTGGTACCTATTTATCTACTCGCAGTTACATGCTTTCAAACTTTTAGGTGGGTTGGAGCTGGAGCAAGGAACGAGAGCTCATCCCGTCATGTGGCGCTCGGATCTCAAACCTTGTCAGCTTTCAGGCTGACAAGTCCAGCATCTTAACTGGTGATCATTGCGTAATATTCTAACAGGTTTCTAGTAGAAAATTTTTTGCAATCAGAACATTATTTCTGTCTTAACTTGTGTAAAAACGTACCAGACGAATCAGTAATAAGGTCTATTTTCATGTTAGGTTAAACTTAGAAGTTGATGCGATGGAGGCCAAGCTTAGCAAAGAGTGTGGTTTAAAAAACAACAACAACTAGGCAGGGCAGCTAAGCGTGAAAAATTACCGATTATTGGATAAAGACTACAATTTAAGTATGGCATGGGGGCCATGCAAGCTGGTGCTTTCTGGTGCAATAAAATAAAATAAAATAGCAGAATCAACTAGAAACGAAGGCATCTTAAGCTGTTCTTGGCATCTTCACTTGTTTAAATTAGGGCTGTCCATAGACCGATAGAGATTTTTTGATAACAAATTGAATGCCTTCCTTTGGAACAGATCAATGGCGGCTTGGTTTAAATATTAGTGTTTGAAGATAGATCTGCCTGGCAATGGCATTTTTGTCAGCTAGTGCGCAAACTTTTAACCATCAACTTAATGGCTTGATTTGGATGAGCCTCCTCTACCAAGAATTCACTTAGGACCCAGGGATCCTGCCAACGATCAGTAACCATCTAAAATGGCGTGGGATGTAGGGAAGGACAACAGCAGGACAAGGGTCCATTGACCACAGCCAGTCCAAGGTCCCTAGTATAAACCAGAACTTCTACAAGGTAAAGGTAAAGAGGTAAAGGTTTCCTCTGACCAGTCATCTCTGACTCCAGGGGGTGGTGCCCATCTCCGTTTCTTAGCTAACATTGTCTGAAAACCCTTCCGTGGTCATGTGGCCAGCATGACTATACGCCAAGTTGCACAGAAGGCTGTTGTCTTCCCACCGAAGTGGTACCTATTTATCTACTCTCATTTGCATGCTTTCGAACTGCTAGGTTGGCAGGAGCTGGAGCAAGTAACAGGAGCTCATGCCGTCATGAGGTGCTTGGGTCTCAAACAGCTAACCTTTAACCCAGTGCCTTAACCACTAGGACACCGTACCCCCAATTTCAACTATGCTCACTGTAATCTCCAGTCCAACTACATGGAATTTGAGAGGGTCCTGCCCTCTCTCTATATTTTTTTTTGAGGGGGAGGGAGGCTGAGCAAGGAGGAACATGGAGGAAGAGATTAGCTCCTAGCCAACAATTCTAAGCCAAATAAAGTTAGCCGTAATTACATTAGTCTACTGGGGCTTAGCTGCAAAGAAGGTAAGTGTCAAGAGTGAAACATGGGCAGCTACAGGCCTCTTTGTTTCAACTTGTCATTAGAGTAAGGGGAAGGAGATGTTGACTATGAATGGGTTAATTTGGAGAAACGAAACTTCTGCAGTTCCACTAGAGCTTTTGAGACTCTGGAAACTTTTCAAGGTCATATAAATAAGTGTGAAGAAGAAGGCAGATGGTTCCCATAACAAAGAGAACTTGTTTACATGGTCTACCTGGAAGCCTGAGGGTTGGGACTGGAAAATTAATTGTTTAATATTGTGAACCGGTGCCTTAGGAATTCAGAGTTAATTTTAAGGGTTGGGCTGGGAAATTCATTGTGTAATATTGTGAACCGTGTGCCTTAGAAATTCAGAGTTAATTTTACCTCGCCATTCCTACACTATGTATTCAATAAACGGTATGCTTTTCAGAACTGAAATGATCCTGGGCTTTTATTTGGATACTCAAGCTGTTGACAGCAAGAGTAATCATGATGGTTAGATCATGGCTAGCCTCTGAACCAGGGACACTTTCCACAGCTAATGTTGAAAGGATTAGGGTTAAGGGTTAGTATGGTACGTAGTATAACGAAGCTCAGTAGCAATTGGTTCTTCCAGCCCTAATTTAAATGTGATTCAAGGAAATGATAAGTTTCATAGTTAATCAACATTTCCAGAAGTAATCTTAACACCTCGAAATTTTATCAGCCATAATTCTTCCAAAATTTTAAAGGAAATAACATTGGAACCTATCTATCGGGTAAGCACACCTCTCTCAGCCAAACACGGTAGCGATGGGTCCCAGCTCGGCATGACACTAGAATTTCAGGAAATTGTTAGAGAAAAGGTAAATAACTTTCCAGTGATATATAAAGTGTTTTTTTTTTTTAAACCATGAAATCGTTTTAGTGTGGGGAGGAGGGAAGAATTAACAGGCAAAAAGACTTTTACTTGGTAAAACTGGTGGGGAAGAATATAATCTCTGCCCCCGGAACCTAATATAACGAATCTTATTTCTCCACGGTATTCTGCTATTCTAAAATAAGGAATTATTTTATTATTAATTTATTATTAATAGCAATATTACGCTACATAAGAGCAATGCAATTTTCTACTTTGGTGCCAAGAACGGAAATCAGGTTTATCCTGACGAACTTCCTTTACATTGCTGTAGTTTAATGCGCTAATGCAGTGTTTCTCATCACTGAGGGGCCACTTTAAGATGGGTGGACTTCAACTCCCAGAATTCCCCATTGCATGAGATACATTATTGCATGCTGGCTAGGGAATTCTGGGAGTTGAAGTCCTCCCGTCTTAAAGTGGCACTGCCACTAATATATATTTCCCCTTTATATTTCAAAAAGTCCCCGTTTTCCCTGCCTTTATTTCACAATAAAGAGTGATTTGCAGATAAAGCCTTCTCAAAACCCCTCGCGTAAATAGGACTCGATCATGAACTCGAAATTTTTCCATCCTGATATGGAATATGGGGCTGGTGGTCATATGACGGCATGCATTATACTCACTGAACAACTTCTACGTGGTCCAGAGCCCATTGATCGTGGCCTGAGCCACTGTGGCGGGATTGCCACCAGCGAAGTAACACCCCCTTCATTCGTGCCTCCCTAAAAATGAGAAACGACACAGTGAGGGAGCAGAAAAGAATAGAACATAGAAAAGAGTCGGAAGGGACCTTGGAGGTCTTCTAGTCCAGCCCCCTGTTTGAGCAGGAAACCCCAGACCACTTCAGACAAATGGTTATCCAACATTTTCTTAAAAACTTCCAGTGTTGGAGCATTCACAACTTCTGGAGGCAAGTTGTTCCACTGGTTAATTGTTCTCACCGTTAGAAAATTTCTCCTTAGTTCTAGGTTGCTTCTCTCCTTGATTAGTTTCCACCCATTGCTTCTTGTCCTGCCTTCAGGTGCTTTGGAGAATAGCTTGACCCCCTCTTCTTTGTAGGAGCCCCTCAAATCTTGGAGCACTGCTATCATGTCCCCCTTAGTCCTTCTTTTCATTAGACTAGACCCGTGATGGCGAACCTATGGCACGCGCGTCACAGGTGGCACACGTAGCCATATGAGTGGGCACACCAGCTAGATTCCTAGAGAGGCTGGAGAACTGGAGGCTCGGGATAGCAAAAAATGTCACTTCCTGTCCAACCGGAAGTTGGGAAATGGGCTGTTTCAGGCCTCCGGAGGGCCTCCGAGGGGATAGGGAAGGCTGTTTTCGCCCTCCCCAGATGCATAGAGAAGATCTGGAGCCAGGTGAGAAAGAAAAACAGGCCTACTGGGCCATTGCGGGCCAGGAGCGGGGTGGGGGGGAAGAGGGGGTCATGTGTGTATGCATGGGGTGGGGCGCATAGAATTATGGGTGTCGGCACGCTCACGCGTGAACCTCCCCCGCCCCCCCCCTCCTGTCACATGATGGCAAAAAGGTTAGCCAGCACTGGACTAGACATACTCAGTTCCTGCAATTATTGTTCGTATGTTTTAGCCTCCAGCCCTCTAATAATCTTTGTTGCTCTTCTCTGCATTCTTTCCAGAGTCTCAACCTTTTTATATTGTGGTGACCAGAACTGGACCAAGCATGGTCTTACTAAGGCTTTGTAAAGCGGTACTAGAACTTCACGTGATCTTGATTCTATCCCTCTATTTATGCAGTCTAGGATTGCATTGGCTTTTTTCGCTGCCGCCGCACACTGTCGATTCATATTTAAGGGGCTGTCCACTAGGACAGGGGTCTCCAACCTTGGTAACTTTAAGACTTGTGGACTTCAACTCCCAGAGTTCCTCAGCCAGCTTTGCTCTGAGAGTTGAAGTCCACAAGTCTTAAAGTTGCTAAGGTTGGAGACCCCTGCACTAAGATGTCTCAGCTTCCGTATCGCCTTCAGAGATTTTGGACTTTGGTTCTCACAATCCGCTGCTAGATATTGAGGCCCAACATGCATTGAGGAGATTGTGTTGCTGAACATTGGTCTGGATGTGTTTTCAGACCTTTTATGCTACAATTCCCCTAATCCTCACTCTGGAAGGCCTCTACACATTGAAAATCTCATGTTAAGAATACAAACTACAAGCATTCGCAGATGACCTGGTGTTTATTCTTGAAGATCCATTTGAATCAATAAGTATATTGATAGACAAGATAGGAGAATTTGGAAAGGTAGCAGGTTTGAAAATAAATAAAGATAAAATGAAGATTTTGACAAAAAATGTTAAAAAAACAAAAAGAAGAATTGGTGGAAATATCGAAGATGCAGGTCACAAACAAGGTTAAGTATTTGGGGATATATCTGACACCAAGATGCAGTACACTCAAGGAGAATAATTATAATAAACTCAAACAACAGATAGTGACAGATTTGGCTAAATGGGAGAATTTACAATTATCATTGACAGGGAGGATATCAACTATTAAGAGCATTTTGTAAAAATTTACGAGCAGGATGAAAATGCATCCTAGATTTCATGAAATGTCAAGGTCTTGAGAATATTGCTAGAAATAAACAAAAAATATATACTAAAAAAAAAAAGGCCAACAAGCTGAGGTGAGAACCAACCTAGAACTTCAAGGAGAGAAGCAACCTCGAACTAAGAATAAATTTCCTGGCAGTTAGAACAATTAACCAGTGGAACAACTTGCCTCCAGAAGTTGTGGGTCCTTCAATCACTGGAGGTTTTTAAAGAAGACATTGGACAATCCTTAGTCTGAAATGGTATAGGGCTTCCTGCCTAAGCTGGGGGTTGGACTAGAAGACCTCCTAAGGTCCCTTCCAACTCTGTTAAAGCCATTTTAACATCCCTCAAGGAATCTGGTTGTTGAAAATTTTATCAGAATCCAGCAACTCTGCTCTAGAAATGAATGTTGGAGCCGGCTTTGAGGAATGCTGAGTGACTTACTATAGGTCACGCCTAACCTAATTCACAAAAAAATGTTGTGGAGATAAAATTGGGGAGGATGATGGGTCATATCTGGAGCTGCCGAAGAAGACACAATCTATAAAGCAGAAGACCTCATCCCTGTGCCGTCTTGTCTCCTTCCTTCTAGTTTTAGATGTAGCTTTTTCAAAATTGAGCTGTTTTTTTAATATTGATCTCTTTACTAGCTGTAAGCTACCCAGAGTGTCCCTATCAGTGAGAGGGGCGGCCTATAAATTTAATAAAATAAACAAACACTCTAAATAAACATGAAACCAGTTCACCTTCATTGAAGCTGCGTTGGGTTTGGATGACGGTTTTTGTCTGCAAATTTTCAAAGAAGGCGTTTTGGGGTTTTTGTGATAGATTCAAATGGCAAACTTTCAGTAACCAAGGGCCATGTGCCTCCAGCTCTCTCAAAACCAGATTTTATCTTATTCAGGGATTAGATCCGTGAGGGCAAACCTATGGCACGCGAGGCAGAGGTGGCACACAGAGCCCCCTCTGTGGGCACACACCCCGTCACCAGCTGCTCTTCTGGTTTCTGATGCGCCAGCCAGCTGGTCTTCGTGGGTGCCAGAGTGGCGGAAAACGACCTGAAAATATTTTCCAGGCCATTTCTGGGCCTTTTCCGGGCCGTTGTTTCAGGCTGTTTTCAGGCCACTTTCGGGCCACTTTCAGGGCCATTTTTGCCTGAAAAATGGCCCGAAAATGGCCCAGAAAACACCCCAGAAAATGCCCAGAAAACGGCGGGAAAACTGCCTCAAAAACGGCTAGAAAACGGCCCCCCAAATGGCCCAAAAACAGGCATGCGTGCACTGGCCAGCTGGTCTCCGGGTTTCCAGTGCTCCGGCATGCGCACATGCACGCACGTTCCGGATTGGGCACTTGGTCCTGAAAAGGTTTGCCATCACGGGATTAGATGGTGGAGTCAAGAGAGGAATTAGCCTGCAGTTGTTACGTTCCCACAAAGGATCTCAGATCAACCTCTTGAATTCCGCTCTTGACCTAGCACCAATTTAATGTTGACCGTTACTTGACCGGGTTCTTGTGTAGTAGGCGCGATCTTGACTAGATCTTGTGTTATAGGCGTGATGGCGTTAATCGGCTTAAAAAGAATTTAGCGCGAGGTCCTGATTTTCCGCGCCGGACGCCTTTTGCTCTAAAGAGAAACGTAGTATAACGGCATACTCACAGTGGCACATTGTAAGAGACTCTTTGGGCTTGTATAAAGTCTTTTGGCTGGTGCTGTGCAATGACTTGCCATGTAATCCCATTGTTTACGCTGTACTGGAGCAACACAGCTTTGTCGACAGTGTTGGGGTCACTGAGATTCGTGTTGCAACTATCAGTTTGTGAAAGACTTCCAATTTGCAAAACAAACATTATTTTGCTGGGGGAAGGAGGGAAGGGAAAAGCAGGAAGAAGGACGATAGCAAAGAGAACCAGTTAATTCATGATCTACAACCAGAACAAAAGAATTATCCAAATACCAGCAGCTACACATACACACACACACACACACAACCCCCCCCCCCCACAAAACCTCATACACAAAGACAAAACAATGAAAACTTTACAATTCTTAGTAATCGGCGCAATCAAAAAATTCAATCATTAAAACCATGGGCTGGCTTGAGCTAAATTTTAAATTGATTTTAAATTGGGTTGTTTTAATTTACGGCCAAAATATTTAATTATTTTAATACTGTTTTTTAAATTTTGTATGCTCTGTTTTTACTTAGGCTGTGCACCGCCCTGAGTCCTATTTGGAGAAGGGCGGTATAGAAATTTAATTTAATTAATAATAAATATATACAATTATTATAAGAATTAGTCATTTTTTAATATTTTTTATTATTATTATTATTATTATTATTATTATTATTATTATTATTATTATTTCATAATATTATGAAGTATGGGGAAATTGGTACAATTGGTTGAAGAACAAGACTAAAACATGATTTTAGGATATGACTTGTTATGCACTCGAAGTACGAGCTATATTGCATAGAATATTGAATAGCTAAGGATGAAGTTTATTTAACGTATGATTCCGTAAATTGTATAAACACTGTACCTTTGAAGGAGATAGAGATTGTATATTTTTTTTCTTTCTTTTATAATGGAAAAATTTAATAAAGTATATTAAAAAAAAAGAATTAGTCATTTTTTAATCTGCTTTGTGTTTTTTATGTTTTTTTTTAATTTTTTTTTAAAGTTGTTAGCTGCCCAGAGTCATTGAATATGAGATGGGGGACAAACAGATTTTATAATAAATAAATTAAAAATATAAATAAGTATTGCGGCAGGTAACTTTCTTCCCAATGTTTCTATTATTATATCTTTTATAAACATCTAGCTTGGTCTGATGGATTTTTAAAAAAAAATAAACATCTTGTTATGGTCTAATGGACTTTATTATATCTCCCATTCTGCTTTCTGATTCCCTACTATAAATTAGTTGCCAACAGTTTTCTGCAAAGGAAAGGATGTATTTATAGAATCAGTCACCATTCTCTACTAACTTCTCTTCTGCTATGTCTCTTTTCTACCTTCCTACTAGATTTCTATGCTTTGACTTATGGAGCACTTATCCGAATGCATCCAAGTGAAAGTGTTTTCCATCTGCATACAATTCAGTATTTCGCACTTTATACATTCGAAAATCATGTGAGCCTTACCATTCAGCTGGCACAAAAATCTAAGAGAATATTTGAACTGTGGGTCCTTGGTGCTCTCTGAGCTTGGTAGGGTTTTTTTTGCAGACGTTTCATTACCCAACTAGGTAACATTATCAGTGCTGAAGGGAAGGTGGTTTGCTCTTGCTCTAGCTAATAGCAAAGAACAACCCAAAGGAACCATCAAGACACTCTCACCAACAATGATAGTGCAAACCACTAGTACTACATATAAACAGAGAGCAGAGGGCCTGGTGGCTCAGCAGACTGATAGCATTGTGATTAACACCAGCTGTCTGCAATTACTGTAAGTTCGAATCTCACCAGGCTCAAGGTTGACTCAGCCTTCCATCCTTTCTAAGGTAGGTAAATTGAGGACCCAGTTTGTGGGGGCAATAAGCTGACTTTGTATAAATATACAAAAGTATGAAGGCTATTGCTTAACGCATTGTAAGCCGCCCTGAGTCTCCGGAGAAGGGCGGCATATAAATCAAATTAAAAAAACAAACAAAAACCACTCCCTCCTAGCACTGATGATGTTACTTAGTTGGGTAATGAAATGTTTGCAAGAAAAGCCACCAAATCAGAGACCACCAAGAACTACAAACATACTATCTAGGATCAACTTTTCTGCGTCTTCAGATCACATTCAGATACCATCAAACCAGGGGTGAAATCTAAAATTTGTTACTACCGGTTCTGTGGGTGTGGCTTGGTGGGGGTGGGTGGGTAATGTGACTGGGTAGGCGTGGCCAACTTTTTTTTTTTTTAACTTTTAAAAGCATTTTTTCTACAACCTCTTCGGCCGAAGAGGTTGCAGAAAAAAAATGCTTTTAGAAGCCTCTGACGATCAGGCAACTCAGCTGGGATCGCCAGAGGCTTTTAAAGGCATTTTTTTTTTCTACAACTTCTTCGGCTGAAGAGGTTGTAGAAAAAATGCTTTTAAAAGTAAAAAAAAAAAATGTACGGTAAGTTCACAATAAGTTAAGTCTTCCAAGTTTGATGGTACGTGAATGTGTTCCGAATACATGGAAAAGTTGATTCCAGATAGCATTCTTGTGCTATGAGGTTCTTGGTGGTCTCCAAACTTGGTAGAGGTTTTTTTTTTGGCAGACATTTCATTACCCAACTAGGTAACATCATCAATGCTAGAAATGAGTGGGGTTTGCTCTTATTGATCTCTTAATGATCTCTCCGATTTCGCTTCTTAAAATTAGTCCCAATTTTCCCATTCGGAAGGTTGAGAGTTCAATCCTAGGTAGCGGCAGATATTTCTCTCTCCTTGGGCGCAAAGAAAAAAAATAACTGCTGTGAACTCCACGTGGCGTCAGGAAGGGCATCTGGCCAGTAAACGCTCAGCTCCATCCAGTTGCCCTGGCGCTACTCCGAATTTCTTAAGGGATGAGACTCGTAAAGGGGGAGTTTAACTGCTATTCGTTTTCCGAATGCCGTAACATTTTATCACACTGTTTAAACGAGGAATCATTTTAGATTTCAGGATGCCTAAAATTACCTTGCTCGGGTTAAATCCAGGGCCTTTGTCACCGCTTGCCTTATCTGACAGCCATTGAAATATAGAGAGTCACCATGAGCGTACGGAGCCAGCTGTCCACATCCGTTCCCTATCACTCCACCCTGAATAATTTCCCAGTTTATTTCGGTAATTCTTGCCGACTCGAAATTATCTTTAATGTAGCTGGGAAGTTCGTGGTTGAAAACAGAGCAGTCATCGCCTGAAAAGAATAGATAGAAGTATCCAACAGTTATTATCAAAGTTATTGCAACTGAAAATTTATCTTCATGTTTTCTGAACGATCAACTTGGATGGACGCAGTATAGATGTTTAAGATACTGTAGGGGCAGGAGTAGGATTCAAAAATTTTAGCAACTGGTTCTCTGTCCGGTTGTTGGGTGGGTGTGGCCATGGTGGGTGTGGCCTACTTGGCCTCCTGCACTACGGGGGGGGGGGCGTTTTCACCCTCCCCAAGCTCTAGAGGTTTCCCTCGAGCCTCCGGGAGGGCGAAAATGGCCTTCCCCTGGCTCCACAACGCTCCGTTTTCGCCGGCCTGGTCCTTCGCTGTTTCCAGGGTGGCCCCGCAGGCCAGATCTAAGCACCCCGTGGGCTGGATCCGGTCCATGGGCCTTGAGTTTGACACCCCTATTTTAAATTATTGGTGTTCCCTTGAGCCCTCCCGAGCTCCATTTTCACTGGCAGAGGGTTGCAGGAGGCCGTCCCAGCCAAAAATGGAGCTCGGGAACCCGTTTTTGCTGGCAGAGCGCTCGGGCCACCGCAGGTGCCCCCGACATCAAGCTGGCCACGCCATCCCAACCTCCCTCCCTGAGGTGAAACACAACCCTGATGCGGCCCTCAATGAAATCTGGACTATTGTAACACTCTCTACATGGGGCTCCCCTTGAGGAGCACTCAGAGGCTCCAACTGGCGCAGAGTGCAGCCGCGCGGGTGGTGATGGGAGCGACGTGGCGCTCCCATGTAACGCCTCTCCTGTGCGAGCTGCACTGGCTCCTGGTCGTCTTCCGAGTGCGCTTCAAGGTTTTGGTTATCACCTTTAGAGCGCTCCATGGCTTAGGACCTGGTTATTTACGGGACCACCTGCTACCACCAATAGCCTCCCACCGACCAGTACGCTCCCATAGAGAGCGGCTCCTCTGGGTGCCGTCGGCCAAACAATGTCGACTGGCAGCCCCCAGGGGGAAAGCCTTCTCTGTGGGGGCACCTACTATCTGGAACGAGCTCCCCCCGGAGATACGGAGGATCCCGGATCTGCGTACTTTCCGTCGCACGCTCAAGACGTTCTTATTTCATCAAGCTGCCCTGACCTAAGTTCTTTCTCCTTTTTAAATGGAAATTTTAAATCTGGTTTTTAAATTATTGGGGTTTTAAATCTGTTCAGCCAAATCATTTAATTTGTTTTATTCTATTTTAAATTTTGTATTTATATGTTTTATTGTATGGCTGTTCACCGCCCTGAGTCCTTCGGGAGTAGGGCGGTATACAAATTCAATAAAATGAAAAAATGAAAATGAAATGAAATCGACTTTGACACCCCTGATTGAAAGGAACACAAACACGCTGCAGCCACCCTGAACATCGGACAAACAAAGCATCCAGACAAAATCTGACCTTGGTATTCTTCATCACAAATACAAACGGCACCCGTGGTACAATATCCGTGGCCGCTGCAGAGTTTGGGACAGGCTTCTCCAATGTAGACATGATCTATCGCCCAGCTTTGTTTTTCCGGCTCTTCTCCTTTTTGGATCCACCGGAACTGAGTTGCACTAGAAATAAAATTGCCCACGTGTGAACGCAAGAGGTCAGCGTGGCTTCCAGATAATATGCCAATACAGATAGCCCTCGTGTTAGAACCATTTGTTTAATGACGTTTAGGCCAGGGGTAAAATGAATTTACTTCTGTTACTGGATCACAAATGTGAGCGCGCGCACATGCGCAGAGGCTCCAAAACCGGATGTCATGATGTCCAGATGGGTGGGCGGAGCCTCCCACCTCTGGCCCTACCGGATCGTGCGAGCCAGATAGATCCAGCTGGATTTCACCTCTGGTTTAGGCCAGAGGTGGGTTTCATATAATTTTACCACCGGTTTGCCGTGCATGAAAAATGTGACCTTGTGGCAAGCAGAAAATTCTGCCAATGGGGAAACCAGATTCATTTAACAACTGTGTCACTAACTTATCAACTGCAGTGATTCACTTAAGAACAGTGGCAAGATAGGTTGAAAAGGGCGCAAAACTCCCTTAACAACTGTCTCGCTCAGCAGCAGAAATTTTGGGCTCGACAGTGGTAAATTGAGGACTAGCTGTTAATTTATATTATTCTGGCGTAAGCAGTGGTGAAATCTAAAATTTGTTACTACCGGTTCTGTGGGTGTGGCTTGGTGGTGGTGGGGGGAAAGGTAATGTGACTGGGTGGGCGTAGCCAATTTTTTTTTTAAAAAAACTTTTAAAACCATTTTTTCTACAACCTCTTCGGTGAAGAGGTTGTAAAAAAAATGCTTTCAAAAGGCTCTGACGATTCCAGCTGAGTTGCCTGATCGTCAGAGACTTTTTTTCTTTTAAATGCCTCTGACGATCAGGCAACTCAGCTTGGATCGTCAGAGGCATTTAAAAGAAAAAAAAGGGTTTTTTTCTTTTAAAAGCCTTTGATGATCCCAGCTGAGCCGAAGAGGTTGTAGAAAAAATGCTTTTAAAAGTAAAAAAAAAGCCTCTGATGATTGTGCGGCTCAGCTGGGCATAGGGGGGTGGGGGGAGGCAGGGATTTTTGCTACCGGTTCTCCAAATCACCCACCTCCATCGCTACTGGATCGGGCGATCCGGTCCGAACCAGGAGCATTTCATGTAACCCAGGGGTGTCAAACTGGATTTCTTTGAGGGCTGGATCAGCATTGTAGTTCTCCTCTGTGGGCCGGCCTGGTGGTGGTGGTGGTGGGGAGTGGTGATGGGGGGGAGATGGGACAGACACCTCATGCTGCACTTTACTGACCAAAATGGGCCTTGGGGGGCCACGCGTGGCCCTCCGGTACCTCATTTTCGCCCTCCATGGCCTCCTGTAGCACTCTGCCAGCTGAAAATGGGCTGAAAACGGGCATTCCGAGGCCCCCGCATGGCCTGTTTTCGCCGGCAGAATGCTCTTGGAGGCCCATTTTTGGCCTGTTTTTGGCCCGTTTTCACCAGCAGAGGCACCGTGAGCCAGTCCTTTGATATTCCTAGACTGGCCCCATGAGCTGGATTTAAGCACCCCGCAGGCCGGATATCACCTGCGGGCCTTGAGTTTGACACCCCTGATGTACCCCAAAGCCAAGGAATGTTCCGAGGGCTAATATGGTGCTGAAGAAGCCCGGTGTGGTCACATCTCAGAGAGGCAGCTACCTGGAGGAGACGTGATCCGGAAGCTGGATGGTTATCCTCTTCCAAGTGGAACTGTTGACGGAGTTATAGATGGTCGCTTCGTGAAACTGAAACGGGGAGCAACCAACGCTGTTGGAGGAAGACGGAAGGCACTGGGTCTGGACGAGCTGCCAGGAATCTAATCTGAAAGAAAGCAAAAGAGATAAAGTTGCTAGGTGTGGAAGGGAGAGAATGCATTGGCAAACAGCGGCAAAAAAACCCACCTGAGTTACTTTCCTCCTTTCTCTGTAAGCCTGAGTTAACCTTTATGGTTAGGGGTAGGGATGAGCTGCTGGGGGTTCGCAGGGGTTTGACAGAACCTCTAGCTAAGATTTTGTGCAGTTCCACTCCTGGCTGGCTCTGCCCACACTGCCCCGCCCCTCCCAGGAGTCCCCACACAGCCCATTTTGGATGCAGGTGAGTGCAGGGTGCGCATGGAGGCTCGGGGAGGGCGAAAAACAGGCCTACTGGCCCATTTCCAGCCTCCAGAGGGCCTCCAGAGCGTGAGGAGGCCATTTTTGCCCTCCCAGAGGCTCAAGGAAAAGCCTCCGGAGCCCGGAAGGGTAAAAATGCCCCCCTCCGCCGTGGTGCAGGAGGCCGACTAGGCCACGCCCGCCATGGCCACGCCCACCCAGCAACCGGGCAGAGAATCTGACTGGATGGTGGGGAGTGCAAGTTCGGAGAACCGGCAAATACCACCTCTGCTTGGCCCCAGAGTGGGAGGGAATGGGGATTTTGCAGTATCCTTCCCCTGGGGTGGGAATGGAGATTTTGCAATATTCTTTCCTCAGGAATGGGGATTTTGCAGTATCCTTCTCTTGGAGTGCAGTGGGAATGGAGATTTTGTAACATCCTTCCCCCAGGAGTAGGGAGGGAATGTGGATTTTGCAGTATCCTTCCCCAGGAGTGGAGAGGGAATGGGGATTTTGCAGTATCCTTCCGCTGGAGTGGGGTGGGAATGGAGATTTTGCAGTATCCTTTCCCGCCACGCCCACCAAGCCACACCCACCAAGCCACACCACGCACATCAAGCTACGCCCACAGAACTGGTAGTAAAAAAAATTGGATTTCGCCACTGGGTTGTACATGTATTAATTGGAGTTGAATAATTGAAAAGACCAAAGCATCTTTGCAACAACCAAATAATTTTGCATCTCTTCTGTTACCAAGATAGATAAACAAGAATAAAATAAAATAAATAAAATGTTTAGAAATTCCAATAATAGAACCTGAATCAAGGGAGATTTTACATCCATATCTACAGTTACATTGATATTCACACAGGTGTTAAATAATTGTAAAATAGATACTTTGCATCTTCAAATCCACAATATTTTCAATTGCGGCCGTAGCTTTTATATTTTACCTAGCATCCTTAGAGTATTCCAGCATAACTGAATGGGGATCACCACAAGATGTTGCTTCACAGCCAACCACAATCTGAAATAATTAAAACGAGACACGTTTTTCTCTTCAGTTTTGTCAACAATTTATTCTCATTGTCCATTCTGATATAGACCATTGCATGTATTTGTTCCAAAATAGCCAACCCCAAAGATATTCCTAGAAATTCTTTGGTTAATTAATATTCTGGCAATAGAAGCACATTATATTACAATATTTTTCTTCTCATAAACAATAAGATAGTTCTGTCTTCTAGTTACTCATAACTAGAGAGAGAACTAGCTGGTGTAGTGGTGAAGGCACCAGGCTAGAAACCGGGAGTTTGTGAGTTCTAGTCCCACCTTAGCCGCGAACGGCAGCTGGGTGACTTTGAGCCAATCACCCGGAGACTTTGAGTTCTAGTCCCGCCTTAGTCATGAAAGGCAGCTGGGTGACTTTGAGCCAATCACCAGGAGACTTTGAGTTCTAGTCCCGCCTTAGTCATAAAAGGCAGCTGGGTGACTTTGAGCCAATCACCAGGAGACTTTGAGTTCTAGTCCCGCCTTATCAATGAAAGCCAGCTGGGTGACTCTGAGCCAATCACCCGGAGACTTTGAGTTCTACTCCCGCCTTAGTCATAAAAGGCAGCTGGGTGACTCTGAGCCAATCACCAGGAGACTTTGAGTTCTAGTCCCACCTTAGTCATGAAAGGAAGCTGGGTGACTCTGAGCCAATCACCAGGAGACTTTGAGTTCTAGTTCCGCCTTAGTCATGAAAGGAAGCTGGGTGACTTTGAGCCAATCACCCGGAGACTTTGAGTTCTAGTCCCGCCTTATCAATGAAAGCCAACTGGGTGACTCTGAGCCAATCACCCAGAGACTTTGAGTTCTAGTCCCGCCTTATCAATGAAAGCCAGCTGGGTGACTCTGAGCCAATCACCCGGAGACTTTGAGTTCTAGTCCCGCCTTAGTCATAAAAGGCAGCTGGGTGACTTTGAGCCAATCACCAGGAGACTTTGAGTTCTAGTCCCGCCTTATCAATGAAAGCCAGCTGGGTGACTCTGAGCCAATCACCCGGAGACTTTGAGTTCTACTCCCGCCTTAGTCATAAAAGGCAGCTGGGTGACTTTGAGCCAATCACCCGGAGACTTTGAGTTCTAGTCCCACCTTAGTCATGAAAGGAAGCTGGGTGATTCTGAGCCAATCACCAGGAGACTTTGAGTTCTAGTTCCGCCTTAGTCATGAAAGGAAGCTGGGTGACTTTGAGCCAATCACCCGGAGACTTTGAGTTCTAGTCCCCCTTATCAATGAAAGCCAACTGGGTGACTCTGAGCCAATCACCCAGAGACTTTGAGTTCTAGTCCCGCCTTATCAATGAAAGCCAGCTGGGTGACTCTGAGCCAATCACCCGGAGACTTTGAGTTCTAGTCCCGCCTTAGTCATGAAAGGCAGCTGGGTGATTCTGAACCAATCACCCGGAGACTTTGAGTTCTAGTCCCGCCTTATCAATGAAAGCCAGCTGGGTGACTCTGAGCCAATCATCCGGAGACTTTGAGTTCTAGTCCCGTCTTAGTCATGAAAGGCAGCTGGGTGACTCTGAGCCAATCACCAGGAGACTTTGAGTTCTAGTCCCGCCTTATCAATGAAAGCCAGCTGGGTGACCAGTCCCTTTCCCTCAGCCCACCTCACAAGGTTGTTGTTTTGGGAAAAATAGGTCGTGTGGAAGGAGTATTATGTATGTTCGCCACTTTGAGTTACTTATAAAGGCAGAACAAAAATCTAATAAATAACCCTTGGACGCTACTCTTCCATTTGACCCACCATCTATATATTCCTGTTCATTTGATACTGTTGTTCGATGCACTCATGTTAACTTCCAAAAACTCTAATAAGCAATGTACAGTAAATATGGGATAATAATTTGAACAGATCTATCAGAGTTTCAGGACACGTCAGATTTAAGTCAATGATTTAACTCTGAATCCACAGAAATGTCTTCTTACTTTAAACTGTATCATGTATCCAGGTTGTATAATGAGCTCCCGGGAGCATAAGATATTGTACGTCTGGTCCTTTTTCTTATTGGGCCAATAGAGGTGGAAGGAAGGGTTACCGCAGAATCCCGCAGTCCTGACCGCATTTGGATAGAAACTCCAATTTTCTTCGTGGGAGATCCCTTCTGTTAAGATCAAGGAAAGTGAAAATGAACCAGAGAATTATAGACAGAATTGTTAAAAACGTGTTTGTAGATTCAGGATATACAAGCATCCTCCATAACAGAAAAGGCAGATAACAGGCAGCTCAATGTATCCCAACGTAATCAAATTATAAATAATTAAGATTACGCTGAGAGACGAGAGCAAAAAGAAGAATTTTATTAGAATGTCGGAAAAAGATACCGGAGACTTCTACATTCACCATCCAAATCCTTGGATGAATTTTTAGGTCAATCAACAGTCCTTGGAATATGAACAGGTGACTAGTCCAAGGACTGTTGATTGACTTAAAAATTGGACTTACAATAATAATATTACAATAATTTATTTAGTGAATGTTCAAAGTCACAACGGCATTGAAAAATGTGAACTTATGACTGTTTTTCACACTTACGACCCCTGGTTACATGATCAAAATTCAGACGCATGACATCTGACTCGTTGCACTGAACACTGACCGTTGCAGTGTTCCGGGGTCATATGATCCCTTTTTGCGACCTTCTGATGAGCAAAGACGATGGCGAAGTCACCCACTGAATAACCGTGTCACTAACTTCACAACTGCAGTGATTCACTTAACAATATGCCAAAAAAGGTCGTAAAATGGGGCAAAATTCATTAGACAAATGTCTCACTTAACAGCACAAATGTTGGGCTCAATTGTGGTCTTAAGTTGAGGACTACCTGTATTTATATTTTCTGGCACTAAAAAAAAGGTAAAGGTTGACCCTAGGGGGCGCTGCTCATCTCCATTTATTAGATGAAGGACTCAGCGTGGCCAGAAGACACTTCTGTGGTTATGTGGCCAGCATGACTATATGGAACGCGGTTACCTTCCCACCGAAGTGGTACCTATTTATCTACTCACATTTGCATGCTTTCAAACTGCTAGATGGGCAGGAGCTGAGGCAAGAACGGGAACTCACCCCGTCACACGGCACTCGAGTCTCAAACCTGGCCTGTCAGCTTAGTGTCTTTAACTGCTGAGCCATTGCACCCTCGTAGTAACTTTTTGGGTAAGAATTTAATTCTCTATTTCAGTGATGGCTAACCTTTTTCTTGTTGTGTGCTGAAAGCGTGTGCGTGCGTGCACGGCAGCGCGTGAGTGTGCCTGCACCCATAATGCAATGTGCCCCCCTGCGCATGCGCATGACCCCCCCACGCTCCCATGCTCCCCCGTGCATGCGTGTGTGACCCCCACCTCCTATTTTGGGCCTAGTAGGCCTCCTTGCAGCCTCCTGGGTCCAAAAACCGGCCTGGGGGGGGCGTGCTTCACCCCCCCACCCCATTTTGGGCCTCATAGGCCTCCCTGCAGCCTCCTGGGCCCAACACGAGCCACAGGGGGTGCGCGCCGGCTTCCCCCCACCCCCACACATGTACACGTGACCCCCGTCCCCCCCAAGCATGCGTGCGTGTCTCCCACATGCGACCCCCCACACATCCTGAAAATCAGCTGGCCGGCGGGAGGCATGCACATGCACAGTGGAACTGAGCTGGGCAACAGTCCGTGTGCCTGCATGCCCGTAAAAATGGCTATAGTTTCGCCATCATGGCTCTATTTGATTCTTACCGTCATCGAATGTATCCACCAGTTGACTTGGATTGATTTCTGCTCCGCCAATCAGTATATTATCCAGGGCCCACTGAGCACGATCAAACCCCGAAACAACAATGCCGTTGTTAATCACGAATGGTTGCCACCAGCGTAGGCGAGTTGTATTGGTGAGAGCCTCTTCCGGGAGCAGAATATAATCGTGCCTGATGGAGATATATTTCTGATAGTCCATCTCATGCAGCAACGTCCATGATATTCCTACGTTACGATGGTTCAAGATAAAGAAAGAGTCAATAAATGTGTGAGATTCCTTGTGGGGTTCCGAACAGCTGATTTGTGATGAGGGTTTGCCCTTTTATAAAATGAGAATAATCCCCTTTCTCCAGGCAATCATTATGAACATAGAATATACGTTCATAGAAAATAGACACTGCAAGGTAATATATAGAATAACGGCAAAGTCTATTTTGGTTTTAACGTTTTCCATAGACATATTGCTTGGAATAATTGTAATAATAATGATTGGAATAATTGGAATGGAATAATAGTATAAAAAGACAATGTTCCTTTGTGCACATTAACTGTACAGCTTTATGACTTGTGGCACAATAATTACAAAGCAATAATTGCTTTACTTTATGCGTGGATAATGAAAAAATAAAGAAACCTCCCCCCAAATGTCAGAGCATTTGCAGAGTGTAACTACTATTAGGAGACAACCCAGGAGCAAAACACAGCACACAGAGACTTAGACATTTAACAGTGGTTTATATAGAAGACATATACAGAAATATATCTGGTAGCAAACACCTGACAGGCAATCCATCTTCTTCTTAACTCTACACGGAGAACTCGGCAATGAATTCTGGACAGAAGGAGAGAGAATCCGCCCTCTCCTGGCTGAATTATATAACCACCTCTTAAAGGGGTTAAAACCTTGTGGACCCCTTCGTAGTCTACAACCGGCAATACCAATGCTGATTGTATTCCAATATGTGTTGGAAAGCAAACTTAACATCTATGATTTTCTGAGAGTCATTTTGCTAAACGCGTCTGATTATCTCTTAAAAATGGTCATCCCTTGAATCTTGAATAAGAATTATACATGTAAGAAGGGATGCTTTATTCTATTTCTTCAAGAATGCAGAAAAAAACATCTTTCAAGAGAAGGAATAAAGAATAAGTTTGAATTTTATTTCTGCAGTCCAAAACACTTGGATAGGTGCGTGAGTTTCAATCAGCCACAGTGGATTATACTGGTATATATTATGTATCTAAACTTTCTTTGTTTTTGCCCCCCTCTCGTTTATGTATGGATGGAACAAAAATCAGAAAAAAAGGAGACTGTTGAAACCAGGAATTTTTGAAATTCCGACATCAAGAGAAAGGCATTTTAAAAAGCAAAAGTTCTATTGCAAAATATGGCTTTGTCTATAGCTAATATTCTTCCTTTGTATATTTTCTATTGTTAGACCAAGAGTGGGTAACTACAGCCTCTTTATGACCTGTGGACTTCAACTCCCAGAATTCCCAAGCCAGACATGCTTTCTGGGAGCATGGAAGCCAGGAATTCTGGGAGTTGAAGTCCACAGGTCGTAAAGAGGCCATAGTTGTCCACCCCTTGTGTCAAACTAATAGAAATATTTGTTACGCATTATATAAATCACTTGCCTCCATCTGTTGAGTAATCCAGTAGAACTCCTTCCTTTCGACATGTTGGTCTATGACAAGTCGTCATGTTGTTTTCACTCCCTATTCTTCCCCAGTATTGTAGAAACCTGGATTAAAAAATGCATCATTAAGTATATATTTTAATAACATGCACGAAGAAGCTGCATATGTGTTTAGTTCCGGATACCTTCCTTTCTCGAGGTTCTTCTGAGGGAATCACGGAGCTGAACCTGAGACTTCGTGGGTTGCTTAAATACGTTAAACCTCCTAATTTGATTTCTAGACACTGATATTATCACTGTGGGAAAAGTGAATATCAGAGACTAGATGTTTGGTTAGAGCTAGACTAGATCAGCCATCTACAAAATCTATTTATATGGAGTTTTTCCCAAACCTACCTTCTACATCTTACTCCTTTTCTTGCATTTTTGTTGTGGCCTGTCGGCCGCCGGCCCCTCCAACAGCCGAATCAGAGGAGGAGGAGGAGGTGTGGGAGTCAGGGCCAGCATCAAAGCAACCTGAGAGCTCTGAGGGGGAAGAGGGAATGGAGCTGGCAGAGAGAGAGAGAGGTGGAGCATAGGCTGTCCATCAGTCCTCAGGTGGAGAGTCAACAGCCCTCAGGTCTGGAGGTGGCTGATAAGGAAGAGGAGGAACAGCTGGGTCCAGTGCCTGATGTACTGATACACAGAAGGCAGAGGAGAGGAGAGCAGTGGAAATCTATGGGCCGGTCCTTGGGACGGAAGAGCCATCTCTGCTAGAGAAGCCCCACCCTAGCTCTGGGGATAAAAGGCAGGGGGTGGAGATGAATAGGCGTGGCAGACAACTATTAATCTCCTGGCTGGATGGACTTGTCAGCTGGCGTTGAGAGAGAAACTTTTTGCCGGGGCTGCTGGCACTCCTAATGAACGAATCATTGCTTCAACTATAGAGGGTTTGTCATGTTTGGGGAGCTGGGTCAGAATAATTTTCTGGGCTAAAACCATCCATGGATTTAATAAATTAAAGGCTACTCCATTCATACAGAGAGAGTTTAAGAAGTGCATAGACCAGGGGTCGGCAACCTTAAACACTCAAAGAGTCACAAAGGTCCTAACCGGAGGCCCCCGTTCAATTCTGGAGCCAACCGGAAGTCCAGTTCCCCCATCATAGAGTCTCCTCCTAGCATGGCGTCCTTTTTCCTCTGCTGACCAGAAGTCCAGTTCCCTCACCATACAGTCTCCTCCTAGCATGGCATCCTTTTTCCTCTACCTGTCCTAACCGAAAGCCCTATCAATTGTGGAGCCGACCAGCAACAGGGAGCCACAGCAGAGGGATGAAAGAGCCACATGCGGCTCCAGAGCCGCAGGTTGCTGACTCCTGGCATAGACTACAGGGCTGCAGTGAGCAACCTTAAACAAGCTGAATTATTATATGGTTCAGCTTTGGAAGAGTGGATAATTTATTAAATTATTAATAAGTTTTCCCGACGTTAGCTGACGGAGGTGGTCAGCTGGGGAAAATAAGTCCTTCCTTCCTTCTTCCCTGACATTTTAAGGATGGGAGAGTTATATCCCGTGGCCTGTCCTCTCAGCCTTCTGGAGTTGGCATCGGGGTTATTATTCATCGCTAACCGTCATCGGAGTGGAATGAGCTACGTTCACCTCTATTAGGTAAGCTGACCTACTTTGCGCCCCGGAGGTCCAAGTCTTGAGTCACTGCCTGCCTCACTGTTGGTCCCCCAAAATATAGAGCCGTGTCCTCGGCCAGAACCCCACATTCCAGACAGGCCAGGCCGCCTTCCAGGGACATCCATAAATCAGGACGAATTTCTTCGTTGTCAAAACGCTCCTTCAGGAAAGTCTGGCGAGAGATTGCAAGACATGAAAATAAGCTGATGGGCTGTTTCCTTCTTTTAGGTCAGTGTTTCTCAACCTTGGTAGCTTGAAGATGGGTGGACTTCAACTCCCAGAATCCCCCAGCCAGCAGTGCTGGCTGGGGGATTCTGGGAGTTGAAGTCCACCCATCTTCAAGCTTCCAAGGTTGAGAAACGCTGTTTTAGGTGAAATGTTCAGAAAAATACAATTCCTTCCTTCCTTCCTTCCTTCCTTCCTTCCTTCCTTCCTTCCTTCCTCCCTCCCTCCCTCCCTCCCTCCCTCCCTTCCTGTCCTTTTCTCCCTTCCCCTTCCCCTTCCCCTTCCCTTGTCCCCATAATATACCAGAATTATTTGACATCAGAAATTGATTTTGGAATAATGAACTTATATTTTCTGCAGAAATGTAATCCAAATACATATTAAAGATAAAGATTTCTCTGTCCTGGCCAGTCGTGTCTGACTCTAAGGAGCAGCGCTTGTCTCCGTTTCTTAGTTGAGGGAGCCAGGGATGCCTGAAGACAATTTCTGGGGTCATGTGGCCAGCATGACTTACCGTATTTCTTGGAGTATAAAATGCTCTGGATTATAAAACGCACCTACCTTTTTGGGGGAGGAAAACAAGAAAAAAAAAAATCTGCCTCTGCCTCCCAGCAATTTGCCTCCTTACAGCAATCAGCCTGCTTTAGTTTCATTTTCAGCACAGCCTGATTAGCACAAGAAAAAAATCTGCCTCCCAACAATTTGCCTCCTTGCAACAAACAGCGGAGGCCTACGCAGCAATAGGCAATGGCAATCCCTGCAGCCTGAAACAGCTGAGGGTCAGGAGGCCTATCCAACCGACAATCAGCTGCTTGTGCTAATCAGGCTGTGTTGAAGCTGAAAACAGGCTGTTTGCTGCTTGCTGCAAGGAGGTAAATTGCTGGGAGGCAGAGGCCAAAGGGTGGAGGCTAACAGGTGGGCGGGGCTAAATTTGATGTATAAGGCGCACCCAAATTTTCACCCTCTTTTGGGGGGGGAAAGTGCGTCTTATACTCCAAAAAATACGGTATATGCTAAGGCGCACAGAACACTGTTACCTTCTTGCCAAAGTGGTACCTATTTATCTACTTGCATTTGCATGCTTTCGAACTGCTAGGTAACCAGAAACTCAGTCAAGTAACAGGAACTCGCCCTGTCTGCACAGCGCTCGGATCTTGAACCCCGGACTGTCAGCTTCCCAGCTGACAAGTTCAGCGTTTTTAACTGCTGAGCCACCGCACCCCTAAATACATATTAGTCAGAACCCAAAACCAAGAATAACAGGTGGTGATTCTTCTAAGCTGAGTTTCTTATTGTTTTGCACCTATAGACAGAATCTTGCCAGACTCTACTATCTGCCTCTACAATGTACTCTGTACTGTTAGGGAGGATCTGTCTTCACCCTCTTTCTCTCACACAAAATACCTGGGCTGAGATGCCTCTTACTCTTCTGGAATGCAGCTCCTCCCTCTTGGGAATCTGCATTCCCTCACAATACTTTTATAATCGTTCGTGATATGCTATGTTAAGTAGTATGGTATTCCTTTGAATGCAGATATTTAGCTTATTTGCATTTCTTTCCATGGTCCAAATTCTCTTCAATTACCTTCAGAGGATGGGTCAAGTAACAATTTGGCCCGGAGAATCCTGGGTCACAAATGCATTGCTCTTTCAAGCAATCTCCATGGCCTCGGCAGTTTTCGGCACAACCAGGCCCAAGGTAAAAATTGTCAATGGCCCACTGCATATCTGAGTACTTCTGATAAAATCTGAATCTCACTGGACTGCAGGAACACATAAGAAGAAGAAACTGAGATTATCACACACATCTCTCTTTTTTTTTGTCAATTCATTTTTCTGTTTGTAAGGTTTTTAACTAATATTTTAGTTTTTTCTCTGTTTACTTTCAATCCTGCAACTTCTCCATATTCTTCCATTTTTTCCTATCAGCTTGGGGCCAGTTTCTAATGGTCCCTGTGAAATAAATACCAGGTCATCTGCAAATGCTTCCAATTTATATTTTTATTTTCTTATTTCCACGCCTTTTGTTTCTAAATCTTGTCTAATATTTCTGTTTAGCACTTCCAATATAAATAGTAAATATAAATGCACAATTATAGGGCACGATTTCTAGAAAATATAATTTCTCAGTTCCGGAAAGCTTTGGAGGTATTTATATGATTTCAAGTTAAAAGAAAGAATTATGTTGAAAGTGATGAATTTATCTTCATTGAATTCTTTAAAGGGAAACTAAATCAACTGGACATAGGACCACAACTGAGCCTAAAATGTCCACGGCAAACGAGACCGCCGTTCCGCGAGCTTTGCCCCATTTAACAACCTCTCTGGCCAGATTTGTTAAGTGAATCTCTGCAATGGTTAATTAGTAACCTGGTTGTTAAGTGAATCTGGCTTCCCCGTTGACTTTGCTTGTCAGAAGGTCGCAAACGGGGATCACATGACCCCAGGCCGCTACAGCCCTCGTAAGTACAAATTTTGTCCAAATTTTGATCATGTGACCACAATGCTGCAATGGTCGTAAAGGTGAAAAACAGTCACAAGTGACTTCTTTTCAATGCCGTCGTAACTTCAGACGGTCACTAAATGGACAGTTGTAAATCGAGGACTACTTGAATGGGAAAATCAGCCTTTCAGTATTTTTGGTCCTGGTTTTCTGGCTTTTAACCCATTGACGGAGAGTTTTTGGAAATGCAAAATCTTTCAACTCATTTACACAATGTTCCAACCTCTCCTTCTTCGGTACATTGTAGTCCCCACCCCTCCTTTGTTATGACAGCGTGCCTCTACTTGATAATTAAGTATAGTTTCCTACTTACTTTCCTACTAGGTTTTCAGGCAATGGGTAGGTTATCCTTTTCCATCCTTTGGTTGGAAAGAAGACAGAAGGCTGGGAAACGGCCCCTGAGCACTTTGGGTCGGCAGGTAAACACTGAGGGATGAGGTATCTCCAACTCACACCAAAATCGGTAGAATATTGTACATGGACTTGGTTTTGAGCGATCTTTTCTGAGGTTTTACATCCGACAGAAATCTAAGGGGGGGTGCAAAAACATGAATGCATTTTCTTTAAAAAAATAATAATAATTCAGAATTTAACGCATAAAAAGAATGTTATTTCAACAGAAGACAATATTTGTAGCAGGGGGTGAAATGCTCCCGGATCGGACCAGATCGTCCGATCCGGTAGCAATCTTTCCCTGTGGTTTGGCAATCCGGTAGCAAATGCTGCCTGGGTGTCATTACTTCCTGGTTTTAACCAGGAAGTATTTTTACCTTCTGCGCATGCGCAGTTTTTGCGCATATGCAGAAGGTGTGTGTGTGCATGTGACACGCATGTGCGACAGTGGTGGCTTTACTACCGGTTCTCTTCGTGCACACGCGTTACGAATCTGCCCAGCTGAGGTGCGGCAATCCACTCTGCCGCACCTTTTAGCTGGGCTAAAAAAGAAGAAATAAAAGGTAGGAATAACGCGGGGGTAGTCGGGAGGGCCCAGCTCCCAAAGAAAGAGAACCAGTTCGGTGACGTCATAACGTCACCGCTACCAGATTGGCTGAACCGGGCCGAAGCGGGAAGAACCCACCACTGGTGTGCGAGTGAGTGAAGCGAGCGCACGTGGCACATGTGCTTCCAAACTGGTAAAGAAGGTAAGTAGATTTCACCCCTGATTTGTAGGTCAAGGTTGAAATGAGGGGCTGTTGGCGTATTAGTGAACACTGCTAGCCTACTGTCAGGTTTCGATGCTATCTCAAAATAAATGAATTTCCAAACTGCCGATCTTTGAGGAAATTTTCTCTTTATTGAGCATAGTGATCTGTCCCTGGCTCTTTCGCGGTCAGCACTGACCTTTGCCCCCCCAATCCCTCCCTTTCCGATCCCCAATTCTCTGCGTTTCATTGGCTATCTTCCAAGCCACTTTCCTCATCCCTCCTCCATCAGATCACAGAAATGTCTCCCTCCTCCCATCTCCGAGGAGACAGAATCTTCAAAGGAATTAAGTAGGCAAAAGTTCAAGCTTCTCCTCTCCTTTAATATGTCAGCGCTGGAACGCTGACACCTACATCACCCAATAGCTTTCCACGTGGTACTCCAGCACTTAGGTCATCGTTACAATAGACTTTCAATAGGACTAAGGGTGACATGATAGCCGTATTCCAGTATTTGAGAGGTTGCCACAAAGAAGAGGGGGTCAATTTATTCTCCAAAGCACCAGAGGGCAGGACAAGATGGTAACTAATCAAGGAGAGAAGCAACCTGGAATTAAGGAGAAACTTCCTGACAGTGAGAACAATCGACCAATGGAAGAACTTGCCTCCAGAAGTTGTGGGACCTCCAAGGTGCCTGATTGATTGATTGATTCATATACTGATAACTCTAATGTAGATATCCAATTACCAGCTAGGAGTTTGTGGTTTAAAGAGACAGACTTCCTTTTGGAAAGCTATTTAAGAATTCAGAGGTCCATAAAAAAATCTCCATTCTTTAGTGTTTACCTTGAACTGCATGATCCAATGCTCCGTAGGAGTTAGGTCGTGGGTGATGGCGTAGGCCTCCCTGCCGTCATGGCTACCACACATCAGGACCCCATCCGGAGAATCACAGAATTTTTCAATGGAACAATCATCATGGAACATCCAGAGCTCATTCACTTAAGAGAGAAAAAATATTCCAATCAGTATTTAAAAAATATTCCAGTCGGTGTTTAAAACCCTACTCAATATTTTTAAATTAACCCGTTTTAAAATTAAACAGGTTAATTAGGCTGTCTTAATTACTGAAAACCAGTGTCTGAATTACTAACTAATTATGGGATTGTAACACGATAATGAATTGTGTTTTTATAAACACAAATGCTTTTAGCTAGATTCTTACAATTTGGAGGAAGCCAAGATTTGTGATAGTGCTATTTTTTTCCCCCCATGCCTGCTTTGAGGGCTATCGATTCTTTCTATATCCCTTTATACACCTGCCTTTTAAATTGTAACCTGCTTAGAAAAAAAAAAAAATGAACAGTTGATGCTTTTTAAAAACCCTCTGGATGATTTCTGCGGTTGATTTCTTAATATGATACAAATATCAAGTAAAACTGTCATCCCAGTTCTAACGTAAGGGTTGAGAATTTAAGTGGTATTAAATTCAACCCTTCATTTATCATTTATAAAATTTACCCTTTTTGTTAGTGTTGTTTCCTTATATTATTTCTACCTTTTTGCACTTCTCGACCCAGATTGTTGGGGGCAAGATGCTGACTCTGTAAACTGCTTAGAGTGGGCTACAAAAGCACTGGCAAGCTAAAAGCCTTGGTAGTACAGTGGTTTAAAGCACCCTGTTATTAAGACCTGCTGCCTGCAATTACTGTAGGTTCAAATCTTGCCAGGCTCAAGGTTGACTCAGCCTTCCATCCTCTCTAAGGTAGGTAAATTGAGGACCCAGTTGTGGGGGCAATAAACTGACTTTGTATAAATATACAAAAGGATGAAGGCTATTGCTGAGCACATTGTAAGCCGCCCTGAGTCTCCGGAGAAGGGCGGCATATAAATCAAATTTTTAAAAAAAGTGTTATATAAGTCTGAGTGCTTGTTGTGGCTTGTCAGTCACCAGCCCCTCCAGCAGCCGAATCAGAGGAGGAGGAGGAGGCGTGGGAGTCAAGGTCAGCATCAAGGGAACCTGAGAGCTCCGAGGAGGAAGAGGGAATGGAGCTGACAGAGAGAGAGAGAGAGACAGAGGCAGAACCTGGGCCGTCCGTCAGCCCTCAGATGGAGAGTCAACAGCCCCCAGGACTGGAGTGGCTGATGAGGAAGAGGAGGAACAGCTGGGTCCAGTGCCTGACTCGCAAATGCACAGAAGGCAGAGGAGAGGAGAGCAGTGGAAATCTATGAGCCGGTACTTGGGATGGAAAAACCATTGCTGCTAGCAAAGCCCCACTCTAGCTCTGGGGATAAAAGGCAGGGGGCGGAGATGAATAGGTATTTTTTTAAATTTATTTTATTTTTATTTATTTTTATATGCCGCCCTTCTCCGGAGACTCAGGGCGGCTTACAATGTGCTCAGCAATAGCCTTCATACTTTTGTATATTTTATACAAAGTCAGCTTATTGCCCCCACAAACCGGGTCCTCATTTTACCCACCTTAGAAAGGATGGAAGGTCTGAGTCGACCTTGAGCCTGGTGAGAATTGAACTCGCAGTAATTGCAGGCAGCTGGATGTTAAATGCTGCCTTAGTAGGAGGCATTAGCCTCCTACGCCACTCAGGCTCCTATATGTATGGCAGACAACTAGTCATCTCCCTGCCAGACGGACTTGTTAGCCTGCGTTGAGAGAGTAACTTTTTTGCCGGGGCTGCAAGCGCTCCTAATAAATTGATTTCAATATAGAGGGTTTGTCTTGTTTGGAGAGCTGGGTCAGAACAATGCTATTGCTATTGCTATCTCGTATTCCTCTCTCTCTCTCTCTCTCTCTCTCTCTCTCTCTCTCTCTCTCTCTCTCTCTCTCTCGGACCATTTGTTTTTGCTAGTTTTTAATCTTTATTTGTAAACACATTTAATAAAATATATTTAAAATCTCTCTCTGATTTGCAACTACCATATATGAAGGCTTACCTGTTGTTCTGTCATCTACAAACATATCAAAAGCGATTCTGCCGGTCGGTCCCGCATCGGCGGGAGAGCGTTCGTGCTGGGGCAATGGTGCACTGCTAAAGGTATCCAGCATCACCGTCCTCTGATCCGCTGAGCCAGAGATCAATACGTTGTCGATAGCCCAATCGCTTTGATCGAGACCTTCGTGTTTAGGCTGCCACCAGCGAAAACGGGTTCCTACTCGCTTGGCATCCGGAGGAAGGAGAATGTTCACGAAGCTAAATGGAGAAACATCACACGCCGCTGAATTAAATGTTTTTTAAAAAAGCGCATCGAGATAGTCCTTCCCTTACAATAGTTCATTGATTGATCGCTCGAAGTTGCATCGGCACCGAAAAAAGGGACATGACTCTTTTTCACACTTATGACTGTTGCGGCACCCTTCCGAGGTCGGTAAAACGAGGACCCAGATTGTTGGGGGCAATAGGTGGACTCTGTAAACTGCTTAGAGAGGACTGGAAAGCACTATGAAGCGGCATATAAGTCTAAGTGCTATTGCTACTCCTTCCTTCCTTCCTTCCTTCCTTCCTTCCTTCCTTCCTTCCTTCCTTCCTTCCTTCCTTCCTTCCTTCCTTCCTTCCTTCCTTCCTTCCTTCCTTCCTTCCTTCCTGATTAGAATCCAGTATTGCAGGCTAACTCTGCCCACAGCCAGCAGTTCGATTCTGATCAGTTCAAGGTTGACTCAGCCTTCCATCCTTCCGAGGTCGGTAAAATGAGGACCCATATTGTTGGGGAGCAATAGACCGATTCTGTAAACCTCTTAGAGAGGCCTGTAAAGCTCTGCGAAGTGGTATTGAAGTCTAAGTGCAATTGCTATCCCCATGGTCATGTGACCAGAATTCAGAGGGCTGCCACGTCCCTGGGTCACCTTTTGCAACCTTCTGACAAGCAAAGTCAACGGGGAAGCCAGATTCGCTTAATAACCGTGTAAACAAGTGCGGGGATTCAATGAACAATGGTGGCCAGAAAGGTTGTAAAAACTCACTTAATAACTGTCTCACTTTTGGGCTCAGTTGTGGTCGTAAGGCAAGGAGTACGTGCATTGATTTAGCGACCGTTCCCCATCGTCAATATTCCTTGGTTGCCTGGGATCCATAACCTGCCCAATCTGCCAGATCGAACAGGACAGGTAGAAATGACTTGGGAGAAGATTGGCCCAGCCCCAAAGCAGAGGTGGGGACAGTGGTGGGATTCAAATAATTTAACAACTGGTTCTCTGCCCTAATGACCGGCTGGGTGAGCGTGGCCATGGTGGGCGTAGCCAGAGGGTGTGACAGGCAGCACTCGGCATCCCACACACCCCTGGTGGCAAAAACGGGCCACGGGGGAGGGGGGGCAAGACGAGCCTCCCCCCACACCCCGTTTTGGGCCTAGTAGGCCTCCCTGAAGCCTCTTGGGAGTGAAAACGAGCCATGGGAGGGCAGCAATGCAGCCCCCCATGCCCCATTTTGGGCCTAGGAGGCCTCCCTGCGCTTATCTGGAGCCAAAATGGGGCGCTTGGGGATTCCTGGAAGGGGCGGGAGGGGAGGGGCGGAGCCAGCCAGAAATTTAACTATTGGCTCGCCTGAACCAGCCTAAACCGGCTGAATTCCACCACTGGCTGGGGATTATTCATAGTTGAAGAATTGAACCTGTACTTCACTTTCTCTACATCAGAGGTGTCAAACTCCTCTTTCATTGAGGGCCGCATCAGGGCTGTGGTTGACCTCAGCGGGCTGGGCGGCCAACTGGATGGGTGTGGCCGACTGGATGGGCGTGGCCAGCTTGACCCCACTCCCCAAACTGCTGGAATATTTCCTCTTCGCATTGGGTAGACCGGGCCGAAGCTGCGCTGGCCTGATCTTTCCTCTTCGCACTTAGACCCGCGGATTGGATCCGACCACATCGCGGGCCTTGAGTTTGTCACCCCTGCTCTACATGAACACGGTTATTGTGCTGACTTTAAGGATATGGAAGACCTTATTTTAACTACGAAATTGCTACAAGGATGAAAACTTAAATTAAGCCTCGGTAAGGGAGCGAGGATCCATCTGGGGAGAAAAAAAACCCACAGGAGTTTTGAAACGCTAGAATTTCCATTCTTAGATAACGTCTACTCTTAGTTCAGATTATTCATACTGACAGGATAAGGTTTTATGAGTTATCTCAGCAGGCAACGCGAACACAGATATTACCCAGGTTTGCTGAACTGGTCATAAAATATTTCCATCAAAAGCGTCCACGTAATGCCACCATTCGCGGAATATTCCAGGAGAACTCCTTGGTTACGATTGTTGGGGCTGATCAGACATCCGTACATGAAATAAAACTGAATGAATTCTGCCTTGGTTAGGTTGAGATCCACTGTCACAAGCAAACGGCTGCATCCCTTAGAAAAGAAGGGAAAAAAAATCGAGATCGAGTATCTCCATAGACAATTCTATGAAAAGATACAGGTAACTTTCAACAATTACAGGCAGGCGTTATCTTTGCTACCCTGCATGCGCAAAACCAATTGTATCAAAGCCAAATGCTGCACAGCAAAAGAGGTGGTATTCAACTGGTTTGGGGCGAACCAGTAGCGGAAATTTTAACTGGTTCGCCGAACCGGCAAATACCACCTCTGGCTGGCCCCGTCCCCGCCCGCCCGGTAGCCGTTCGCCCGCCTCGCCCATCCAGTCACATGATGCCCGCCAAGCCACGCCCACAGAACCGGTAGTAAAACAATTTGAATCCCACCACTGCACAGCACTAATTATTTATAAATAGGAGAAGACTGACTGCTGACTCTAAATACTCCCACTGTCAAGATGTAGCTGTCTAGATCAGGGGTCTCCAACCTTGGCAATTTTAAGACTTGTGGACTTCAACTCCTAGAATTCCTTAGCCAGCTTTGCTGGCTGAGGAATTCTGGGAGTTGAAGTCCACAAGTCTTAAAGTTGCCAAGGTTGGAGACCCCTGGTCTAGATGATGTTGCACTACACTTCCCAGCATCCCTCATTCTTGGTGGCAATTTTAACATGGATGTCAGCCCATCAAAGTGAGCCAGGACAAAAAATTTGTCCTAGGAATGCTTTTTAATATACATTAGTGTGGTAAAATAAGAGAACTCTTTAAAAAGTTTGTCCAGGTTTCTCTCTCTGTCCTATTCAGCATTCCCTTACATCAGTGTTTCCCAAACTTGGCTATTTTAAGATGCATGGACTTCAACTCCCAGAATTCCTCAGCCAGTATGCCTGGTTGAGGAATTCTGGGAGTTGAAGTCCATACATCTTCAAAGGGTCAAGTTTGGGAAACACTGCCTTACATAATCCTACCAACCATCATGATTATTCTTGATTAGTTAAGCTGCTAATACATATAACATTCCATTCAATGCTGGAAACTGCCAAGAGTTGTTTTGTTGTGAGATTGGCAGCAAATAAATCCATCCATCCATCCATCCATCCATCCATTCATTCATTCATTCATTCATTCATTCATTCATTCATGGTTTCCAGCACAGTGGTGGGTTTCAAATAATTATACCACCAGTTTGCCGAAAATGTGAGCACATGCGCATGTGGCTTCTGTGCATGCGCGGCTTCCAACCCAAGGCGAAGGGCGAGCGAGCGGCATGCAAGCGGCATGTGAGCAGAGCAGGCGAGGCGTGGAGGTGAGGTACGGAGATTAGCTGGGCCGCATGGCAAAGGCAAGATATATAGGGCAGGGGGGGTGGGCGGGCGGAGCCAGCCGATGGTACAATTTGCCGATTTGAACTACTCAAAATTTCAGGCTACCGGTTCGCCCAAACCTGTCTGAACCGGTTGAATACCACCTCTGTTCCAACATAATGTATTATCGCAGTGACACAATTTGGTTTCTCAAAAGTTGTTTCCCCAATCATTAATGGTTTATTAATTTATTTGTACCCCACTTTTATTATTTTTACAAACTCAAGGTAGTGAACATATCCAACACAACTTCCTCCTCCTATTTTCCTCATAACAACAACCTGGAAGGTAGGTTGGAATGAGAGAGACACGCACTGGCCCAAGGTCATCCAGCTAGCTTTCATGGCTAAGGAGGAACTAGAACTCACAGTCTCCTGGTAAGTGGCCCAAAGTCACCCAGCTAGCTTTCATGACTAAGGAGGAACTAGAACACACAGTCTCCTGGTAAGTGGCCCAAAGTCACCCAGCTAGCTTTCATGACCTAAGGAGGAACTAGAACTCACAGTCTCCTGGTAAGTGGCCCAGCTGGCTTTCATGGCTAAGGCGGGACTAGAACTCATTCTCTTGCTTTTTTTCCTGGTGCCTTAACCACTAGAGCAAACTGGCTCTCTATATAAAAAAACAACTTAAGGGTTTATAGTCCTGCTCAACGTCCAAGAGGTTTGCAAGTTTCAATTGTTATTTTTCAATTAGGTTGGGTTAATATCTTAATGCTTTCTTTAAAAAAAAATTAAAAAAAAAATATTTTGCTTTTCTACACCCACCCATGTTCAACAAACGATCATATTTACAGCAAGGCAAAGACAGTTCCAAAAACATAAACCCGAGAAAGAAAACGCAGCAATGGGGGGAAAGAGCCACCAGAAAAGGCCTGCTGGAGATGAACAACATGCCCCCCCGAAATCCAAATACTAACCCCGCTAAAATGAAGAACCATCCCAGAAGCCACCGCACCGCAGACGGTGCTCAGTTTCCCCCCGTTAACAGTTAGCCAGTTCTGGCTGGATGGGGCACGATTGAAATTGTCTTTCAGTTGAATGGGGAGGGACACATCTGGCTCGTCGCAGTATAATCCGCTCCAGTTTTCATCACACCTGTAAAGAACAAGAGAACCCAATTAAAAACAAACATCCAGAGGTGAGCTGCTGGGGGTTCGCAGGGGTTCGGGAGAATCCTCAAATCCAACTCCTGGCTGGCTCTGCCCATCCCCCCTCCCCACGCGGCCCGTTTTGGATGCAGGTAAATACAGGGTGTGCGGGGAGGGTGAAAAATGGGCCTACCAGATGTTCGGGCCCGTTTCTGGCCTCCAGAGGGCCTCTGGAGCCTGGGGAGGCCATTTTCACCATCCCGGAGGCTCTAGGAAAGCCTCCGGAGCCTGGGGAGGACAAAAATGCCGCCCCTCCGTGGTGCAGGAGGCCAACTAAGCCACACCCATCATGGCCACGCCCACCCAGCAACCGGGCAGAGAACCCCTTGCTAAAATTTTTGAATCCCACCCCTGCAAACATCCAATTTTTAAGCGTTTCATCAAGACGAATGGGTTTCCTCCACAGCGTTAGGCTTCCTTGGTCTCCTCTCAGAAACTTCTTGAAGATCCTGCATGGTTCTGTCTTCCTGAATGTTAATTCTATTTAAGAACCCATTGCCGAAACTGTTCCACTGAAAGGTTCTTGGCTTTGATGCAAAGAAAAATGACTTTTTTCCAGACAGGCGGAACCGAGGAGATTGTACATCAACATTCGGCTTGTCATTTTTAATGAGATGAAAAATTCCTAACGGGAATCTCAAGAGGTATGCTCCTGTTTCGGGGACAGCTTGTACAAAATTTCAATATAGTCCTGGATGGACAGATCTCCTAGAGCAGGGGTGTCAAACTCAAGGCCCAGTGGCCCAGATCTGGCCCATGGGGTGCTTAGATCTGTCCCACGAGGCCGCCCGGGAAACAGCAAAGGACCGGCCAGCGGTGCCTCTGCCAGTGAAAACGGAGCTCGGGAGGGCCGCGGATGTTCCTCGCGAGCTGTATTTTCGCTGGCAGAGGGTTGCAGGAGGCCGTCGCAGCCGGAAACGGAGCTTGGGAGCCCGTTTTCACTGGGTAGAGTTCTCGGGCTACCACAGGCGCCCTCGAAATGAGTGAGGTCGAGCTGGCCACGCCCACCCCGGCCTCGTGAGGTCAAACACAACCCAGATGCAGCCCTCAATGAAATCGAGTTTGACACCCCTGTCCTAGAGCAGTGGTTCTCAACCTGTGGTCCACGAACCTCTGGGGGTGGGGCTGTAATGTCACCGGGGGGAGGGGGGATCTGTGAAGACTTGAAAAAATAATTTAAGGGGGGGGGGTCCTTGGTGCTGTCTGAGGTTTCTTGTTTTCTTGCAGACGTTTCATTACCCAAAGTAGGTAACATCATCGGTGCTAGTAGGGAGAAGGGTTTATGGAATAGAGGAGGAAAAGGAGGAAGAGGGGAGGAGGAGGGAGGAGAGGGGAGGAGAGGACGAGGAGGAGCACCGTGTCAGATGATGGACATGTGTTTATCCTAAGCATGTTTAAACTCAGTTACTAACGATTGACCCAGCTACTTGCGTTGGAAGTTGGTTGTAAACTTCCTGCTACTCGTTCTGTGAGATCATACTTTTGAAGTAACTCGTTGGCAGTATTAATTTGGGGCTGCCAAGCTCCAGTCACGATGAGCTGGTAGAAGATGGGGTGTGGAAATTAAGAAAATGAGAGAAAGACAACGAGCACCTGAAATTAGCAGCCGATTGCAGGTGGTTAAGGAAGAACAAAGCAACGTTGGCAGGACTTTGTTAGCTTTATACACGCACACCCAAAAATTGGCAAATAAAGTTAATGCCACTTCCAACAGCAGATGAGCTGTTGGAAGTGACAATTACACAAGAAGCTAAATTAAAGGGCCTTCAGAAAAACAACGTGAATATGGTACGGCAGATTTCAAAAATGGCAGTCGGAGGCCAGATCTGAGAATTCACGCAGCAAAAGCATCAGCTGCAGAGCAGTACATAATAAAACCTCTTGACGGAACAGCTTTCTGAAATATTTTTGGAACTGTGATTTAAAACAAGACTGCGGGGAGAGCTCACCGAGTCATAATAATAAGAAACCACCAAATGGCAACTTCCCAAGATACATTTTTTTTGCCAGATTTGTAAATTATACCGCTTAAATGTAAAATATTAAACTTGGCACACAAAGTTCCTCTCTGGTGACATCAATCTAACAGGTTTTAGCTGGCTTGCACGGCGATAAAAAATGTTATCTAAAATATGTTGAGTTTTTACATAATAAAATATTTTCACTGGCACTTTTTCCTGTTTCTGGCTCAATTTTTTAATATCCGACTTCCATTTTTTTTTTGCCCATCACTATCTTATAGATAAACGATATTTTTCTAATGTTTTAAGTCAAAAACTGTGCGTAAAGGAAAAGCTTCAAGTTTTCCCCTAAAACAAATGAGAGTGGAGGGATAGAATAGAATAGAATAGAATAGAATAGAATAGAATAGAAATTAGAATGGAACGGAACGGAACGGAACGGAACAGAACAGAACAGAACAGAATAGAATAGAATGATAATTAGAATAGAATAGAATTCTTTATTGGCCAAGTGTGTTTGGACACACAAGGAATTTGTCTTGGTTCCTTGGATTCTGGTTCCATCACATTTTAGGTGGTATGACAAGATATTTAAACGGAATCAAAAGTTGTTTTGTCTTCTTAACAATCTGTTTTTTATGCAACTCTACGGAGGAAGTGCAAAACGAGTTGCGTTCTTTAATTTTATCTTTGCTAGTAACAATAGTTGTCATTATTATTACTACTATTCCACAATAAATGCTGGAGGTCAACGAATTCGTTCTGACACCAAGTTTTATTAGCAGCTGGTAAAAGAAAACCAGGGAATCAAATAAAGAAGCAGGTGAAAACCACAAAAATGGATTAATGTGCTTCTATCAAATTTTGCATTTTTGTTTTATCTGGTGCTTTTAACATAACACGGATGTCTCCCCCCAATGTTAACTGAACAGGATATTTTAATTACCATAAAACTTCCCAAGTAATCCCGGAGGTGCTTTTTCAAGAGGCAACTGGACTTTCTGGTTTTTCTTTGAAGATGTTTCGCTCCTCATCCAAGAAGCTTCTGAGAAGCGAAACATCTTCAAAGAAAAACAACAAAGTCCAGTTGTCTCTTGAAAAAAGCATCTTTGGGACAACCATGACCTAGATGACTGAGAATCTCCATGGACTTTCCAAGTAATAGCATCTAAATGAACCTGGAGGTAGGCCGTGCTTAAAAAAATCTAAACAAGATCATAGAGAGGAAGGTGGGAGGCAAATTGAAAAAAGCATAGCAACCAAAGTATTGAAGCGGACAAGAGACGATGGATAAATGATTTCTTTGTTGTCATTGTTGTTATTCTGATTTGCGTTTCCTTTTCTCTCTCTCTCTCTCTTTTCTTTTTCTTTTCTTTTCTCTGTTTCAGGTAGGTGACACGAATAAAAGCCAGGTAGGTTCGAAATATTTTTTTTTTTCAGTAAAAGGTAATATGATTAAAAGTTAGAATAAGTGATAGAAATAAGAGAAAGGGGAACATTAGTGCAGACACTAATATAATTAATAAAATATATAATAAAATATATATTTTATTATATAATAAAATATAACAACAATAAGAGAAAACATGGAATAATTGAAGAATGACAGATTGTAACTTATTATAATTGTGTATCATTATTAGAAATATATAAGGTGATTGAATGTAATAATTATGATTAATTTGACTAGTTTTATTTGTATTAGAACATATGACACTCAGGTGCCACACATTGAGTTGATATGTTTGTAAAAAAATAAAAACTTAAAAAAAAAACCTAAACAATGGAAATGAATTTGGTACATTAGACCTGTTCAATCCAGTTCCACCAAAATCAGGGAAAATACATTCAAAATCGCATATAAATGGTGAACTAATCCTTTACACCAAACCATATCCTTGTAAAATTGCCATTAATCGTTGCGTTACAGAAGTGGCTCTATTATCTGTCTTTACGGATGTTGCCGAAATAATAATGCACGAGGAATTAGTAACTATGATTTTTTCTAACGGTGAGAGGAGTAGCGATACTGATCTAGAAGCTGTCATCAGCGCTATCATTGGGTCGATGATAATTGATATTAACGATAGCTTTGGATTTTTGCTCTAGTTGAAAAATTGGCCAAGCACTGAAGATGGTAAAATAAGGCGGCCAATTATTTTCATGAATTGTTTTATTGATTTTTGTGACTGCACAGAATTTGTTCCGCTTCATTACATTCATGGTTAGGAGAGATTAATTCGAACGGGGGAGCTGGTTAGTTTCAATTCCGAGAATAAGCCAACTGAAGTGGTAATATCCTAATTGAAAACCATGAATAGGTAGTCCTCGACTTACAACCACGATGGAGCCTAAAATTTATGTCACTAAGCGAAACAGTTTTTAAGTGAATTTGTCAGCGTATGTAGATTTAATAGCTGTAATCTGATGGAAGGTTGTAAGCGGAAGCAACTGAAAGCTGATGCAATGGGAATGAGGCAGCAGGGTTACTGCTACTTTAAGAAGCTGGGTTAGAAGCTGCCTATATAAGGGAAGCCATTAGGGGGCGTCTCCCTTCTCCTCATGTTCTCTCTTGTCGTGTATCTCAGTGCTCCCCGTGTGCCAGTAGCTGTATGATAAGGTATTTAACCACATATAAGTCTGTAAATATTTAGCTGTATATAAACCACTGTTAAGTATCTAAAGGCTCTGTGTGCTGTGTTTTGCTCCTGGGTTTATCTCATAATACTAATTACGCTGCCTAAACGCTGACAGAATTTTTGCTTCATTTTACGACCCTTCTTGCCACAGTGGGTAAGTGCATCGTTGCAGCTGTTCAGTAACACCATTGTTAAGTGGCTTCCCCATCGACTTTGCTTGTCAGAAGGCCGCAAAAGGGGAATCACGTGACCCCAGGGCACTGCAACCGTCATAAATATGAGGCAGTTGCCAAGCAGCTGAATTTGGATCACGTGACCATGGGGATGCTGCAACGGGGTCGCTAAGTGTGAAAACCGGGATGAAGTCACTTTTTTCAGTGCCGTTGTAACTTTGGAACGGTCACCAAATGAATGATTGCCAGTCGAGAACTACCTGTATTGTCCATTTCTTTGTGATACTGAATGGGGCGGTCTGGTCCACACGACAGGTAGCCCTCGACTTACAGCAGCTCATTTAGTGACCGTTCGAAGTTAACAACAGCACTGAAAAAAAAAAGTGACTTGTGAAAGATGTTGTCATAAGTCACTTTGTTCAGTGATGTTGCAACTTTGAACAGTCACTAAATGGACTGTTGTAAGTTGAGGAGATACCTGTAGTTACTCTAACGCTGTCTCTCTCAGTAGGGTTAATACTTACACGCAGTTTCCTTCAGTGCATCTTCCATGCCCGCTGCACATATCTATACAGCCGTCGCCTATGTAGACATTGTCAATGGCCCATGTTTGCTGCTTGTCGAAAGGCGCTGTCTGGTGCCAACGGAAACGGGTCGCATCAGACCTTTAGGGAAGACGGCACGTGAAAAAAAAATAATGCTTATGGAGTTAAAGCACGAGAAGTAGCATGTTCCGCCTCTTGGTATCGATCAAACGGAGATTGCGGCTTTATTAAACAAATAAACAAAATCTAAATTAATTTGTTTCTTAAATAAATTTTAATTTTAATTTATTTTTAAAAAACAAGGGTGTTTTAATTAGTATGGACCAAATTTATTTAATATGTTTTAAATTGTTTTTTAAATTTTATACTGTATGTGTTTTATCTCTGGCTGTTCACCACCCTGAGTCCTTCGGGAGTAGGGCGGTATATAAATTTGAATAAACTAATCTTAAACTTAAATAACCAAAGAGAGAAGCTACCTGAAATGAAGGAGAAACTTCCTAACCGTGAGGACGATTAACCAGTGGAATGACTTGCCACCAGAAGTCGTGGGTGCTTTGTCACCGGAGGTTTTTAAGAAGAGACTGGACAGCCACTTGTCTGAAATTGTATAGACTCCTAGAGGGGCTTTGGAGGCTGGGGACAGCAAAAAAAGTCACTTCCTGTCCAACTGGGAGTTGGGAAATGGGCCGTTTCAGGCCTCCGGAGGGCCTCCGAGGAGGTGGGGAAGGCTGTTTTCACCCTCCCCAGATGCATAGAGAGGATCTGGAGCCAGGTGGGAAAGAAAAATGGGCCTACCTGGGCCATCGTGTGCCAGGAGCTGGGGGGGAGGGGCGTTGCGGGTGCATGCGCAGGGTGGGGCATATAGAATTATGGGTGTGGGCACGCACACGCGCGAACCTCCCCTGCCCCCTCCTCCTGGTATGTGATGGCAAAAAGGTTAGCCATCACTGCTATAGGTTCTCCTCCTTGAGCAGGGGGCTGGACTAGAAGACCTCCAAGATCCCTTCTATTCTATTCTATTCTATTCTATTCTATTCTATTCTATTCTATTCTATTCTATTCTATTCTATTCTACTCTACTCTACTCTACTCTACTCTACTCTACTCTTTTCCTGTTCCTATTATTTCTATTTCTATTCCTATTTCTTTTAACAGTAGATGGCAGCATTAAACTTCAGACGAAGTCTACTCACCAAGGGAACAAAACTTTTGTTCAAGCAGATTGCAACCTACGTATTTGCTTATTCCGTTTATACTTTGTACCCTCAACATTTTTTTTTCCTGATGGTCTCCCTCCAATTTTTCAATCACACTAGGGTGAACTTTGACTTTAACCCACTGATTTTATAGTCTCAAATGTTTCTGATAAACAGGAAACAATTTTTTTAAAAGCCTGAGATGTGTTTATGGTTCAAGTACAAACCCTCTTTTCTTATTACTCTATATTCTGGTTTTTGTGGCAACTGAGACTGTTCTCTCAATAGGGGTGGGCAGCTGGGGGTTCAGTGAGGTTTGAGAGAACCTCTAGCTAAGATTCTGTGCAGTTCGGAGAACCCCCAAATCCCACTCCTGGCTGGCCCCGCCCACCCTGCCCCGCCCCTCCCAAGAGTCCCCACATGGCCCGTTTTGGATGCAGGTAAGCGTAGGGCATGCGTGGAGGCTCGGGGAGGGTGAAAAACGGGACTACTGGAAGTTTGGGAAGGCCGGAAACAGGCCTGTTTCCGGCCTCCAGAGGGCCTCCGGAGCCTGGGGAGGCAGTTTTCACCCTCCCTTCAGCTTGGAGCTGAAAACAGCGTTTTTCTCTTTATCAGATTTGATGTTATGAAGCCAAGTGTGTTCTTTGCTTGCCCCGACTTCTTGTTCCACTAACCGTTCCTAGCATCACTGCCTTCTCCATTGAATTTCCACGCATAACATGGCCAAAGTAAATTAGACGTAGTCTTATGATTCTAGCTTCCAGTGACGTGTCTGGTTTTATACAATTTAACTCCTCTCTGTTAAATTATGAGCCTCGATGGTGCAGTGGCTAGAGTGCAGTACTGCGGGCTACTTCTGCTGACTGCCGGCTGCCTGCAATTTGGCAGTTTGAATCTCACCAGGCTCAAGGTTGACTCAGCCTTCCATCCTTCCGCGATGGGTCAAACGAGGACCCAAATTGTTGGGAGGCAAGATGCTGACTCTGTAAACCGCTTAGAGAGGGCTGTAAAGCACTGTAAAGCGGTATATAAGTCTAAGTGCTATTGCTATTGCTACTCTGGCTCTCCGTGATATATCCAATAATTTACACCAACACTACAGTTCAAAGGCGTCAATTCGATCAGCCATTCTTAGTGTCCAACTCTCGCATCCCTACATCATTAATAGGAAGACTATTGCTCTAACTAGCCTGCTTTTTGTATATTTTTACTTGAGAAATAGGATGTACTTAAATAATATCTCATTTCAATGTTGTTCACTTGGAACAGAAAAGTGGCTGAATCTGCAGAGAGAATAAGTCATCAATGAGATACTCAAGGTTTTTAGAAGATCTCAACTAATGTGAGATATGATAAAGTATCAGCTTCCCTCACAAACATACTTAAACTTGTAGAGCTCTGTGTGTGTGAGTGCATGCGTGTCCCTAACTTTTTGAACCATGTACCCTCCCCAGATGTTTTTGAGATGCAGAGTTTCTAGACTGCTTAATAATCATGAGAGATGGAATTCAACAAATCTTGAGGATCCCTTGTCAAGAAAAGTGCAGGAGATCATGATCAATTAGCATTTGTTGACTTAATAGCATGCACACTAGAACGTTTTGCGCAGCCTCATTGGAGTGAAGTGGGAGACATGATGAAATAATTTTATTTAGAACTAGCTGGATGCCCGTGCTTTGCTACGAAATGATGTGATTGGGCGTGATAAATTGACACTTAAAGCCTGAAACTTAATGTAGAATATGTAACTCTGCAGCATCACAGCGTGTTAATATAAGGCAACTGGCAGTTGGAACAGAGTGGGTGTGGGAGTAGAATGTCCCAGCCCACAGGCTGGATGAGTCACAAGCTGGCCACGCCCACACCCGGTTTAGTGAAGGGGTAGCATCAGAGCGTGTGAATATAAAGCAACTGGCAGTTGGAACAGAGTTTTTTTCAGGTGGAGAGGGGGAGTAGAATGTCTAGCTCCTTAGCATCAGAGCATGTTAATATAATACTGTATATGAAATACTAAAGATCAGATGATCATTTTGAAAAATCCTTTCTTAGCGAGCACCTAGAAGCCAAGAGGAACATACGTGCCAAATTTCAAGTTTGTAGGCTTTACCTTTCTGGAGATTTTGTGATAAGTGAGTGGTATTTGGCTTTTATATATATAGATATCTCTTCTGACATATTTCAAAAGGCAATGGAGCTAACTGAGGACAAATATGCAACTTGTAGAATTCCTTTGGAAAACAAGTTTAGAAACGCGTAACTACCATGGTAAAAGAGACCCCTGTTTTCAAAGACCATAATATAACGGGAAACTTGTTGTGATGGATAAAAGCATGTCAAAGATAATTCACCTGGTGTAAGGAGGAAGTGGCAAGATGATTCTCGTCCATTTGTTGAAGGTATCGGATACCAAGATCCGCTGGAGGTGATACCTGTTGCATTCTACGTTAGTAGGAAGGCAGTCTCTTACTACAGGTTGCCATGTCAGACCAAGGTCCACAGAATATTCCAGCTCGATAGCTGAAAAAAAAAGAAAGAAAAAAAGCATGAAATGCAAAAATTGTAAGATTGGCTCATAGGCAAGCATTAAAATATTACATGTGAAGAAGAATAGAGATAACTTGAATGACTGCTCCAAAGCATTGGTGAAATCGTCCCCGGATTGTCACTGGTTCACTGTCCACACATGCGCGGTGCGCATCAAATGCACGCTGTGGACGCACGCATGCACAGTACATGCACAGTACAAACGCGTGGAAAAAGGATGCTTGGGAAGGTAAGTAGAACAGTGGGACGATGACAGCTGTGCCGCGCGATTTAGATTCACTAGAAAGCAGCGAACCGGTGCGAACCGGTAGCATTTCACCACTCTTCCAAAGGTACTTTTTAAAAAGGCAACTGGACTTCCTTGGTTTCTCTTTGAAAACGTTTTGCTTCTTATCCAAGAAGCTTCTTCGTTTCTTCAGTCAGAACTGAAGAAGGACGACGACTGAGGCAATTTGCAGGGAACAACTTCGTTCACTCTCCTTCGCGTCTGGATCTCAGTTCTCAGCAAATTGCTTCTGGGCTTTCTGCCAACCATAGTAAGATGACGATTATTTATTCTTTGGATTCTTGTAGGCTGTTAAGAAAGTTAATGAACAGCCTTTGTTTGAAAAAAGACTGATTTAATTTAGTAAACGAAGGTTTTTTTACAGATTTTGTGTGTGCTGCGTTCTTTGGGGTCCGTAGCTGGGGCAGAACAGTTGGATTGTTTCTGGCTTCTGGCATTTGGTTGCGTTATCTCCTCTTCTGATGGTTGTAAGCCTTGTAATCCAACTCCTTTCGGGATCTGGACGGCTTACAAATTGCTTACATAAATATACAGCCATAAAAATAAATCAAATGGAGGGCAGATTATGGCGCTGCCGAGATGTTCATTGGCAGGCACCGATGGATAAATCAAGGCATTTAGGCCCGATAGAAATGATAATGAAGTTCTGAAATAGGCACAGATGTGGAAATTTGAGATAGCATAGTGTTTCTAAGCCTTGCCAACTTGAAGGTGTGTAGACATCAATTGTGGAAGTCCCCTCGTTGCCAGCGCTGAGGAACATTGGCATAGCAACGGAACTGCCCGCCGCCATCGCTACTGACTCGCCCGAGCTGGTCCGAACCGGGAGCATTTCACCCCTGATGTAAGTGTAAAAAATGGTCATAAATCACTTTTTTCAGTGCTGTTGTAGCTTCTAATGGTCCCTAAGTGAACTGGTGTAAGTTGAGGACTACACAGAAAGGCAGATAAGCTCAGAATGATGACCTCCTCGTAAGTGGCATAATTCTTATGGATAAGATTTCTGACAGATGAATTTAACGCTAGAATGAATTGGAACTTTAAAATGAAGAGTAAGGATTATATTTGGGGTTGGCCGTTAATTTCCCCTCTCCATTGAAACGGCTTCATTACTTATAAGTAAATTAGCTATCTGCTTTATGGATTTTCTTTAAGGCTCATTTCCATTGTTAGGCTGAATTGTGACGTACCAGTCTGAGTTTAATTGATATACGCGATCACATTCCCCTCTAGTCAAATTTAAACCAGCTGCACGCCAATATAATTGATAGAAGTGCAAAGAAAATGTTAAGATGGTATTTCGGTCTCTGGAGTTACAGACATTGTAATCATTTAGAGCGTGACACCCCATAAGTCAAGAAATTACGAGAAATCAATGCCAGGATGGGAGATTTATACGAGGGATGTCCAGATCTTTTCTCCTAGGTATGTATTACTTAGAACAGCAAATATATCCATGAATAATATAGCTGTTTTATACTCGTGAAAATTACAGCTAATCCCTGATTTATAACCATCATTCAGATGAGAATTACACTTGTCAGTCATGGTGGTCGTAAGTCGAGGCACCTATGTGACTGAAAGTTCGGGGCAGTTACAAGGCCTTGAATTTTGATCATGTGAGCATGGGGATGCTGATGGGTCATGTTCTGTCCTAGGCTTCCTTAGAAAGTATACAGCACAATCTTAGTCCTGGCAAACCTCTTTAATTCATTATGGCTGTGAATTATTGTCATTCCCAGTCTGAAAGGCTTCTCAAGGGGAGGGTTTACAAACACCTACTTTATCTCCCTTGGAATGCTGCCAGAGAACTAATTGCCACATGCAGGGCAAGGCCAAACTTAGCACAGAGTCAAACAGAACTTTCCCAGAGCTTTTATCGACCAGATGAACTAATTGCTTCCTGCAAAAGCTCATGTCCCGTTTGCTTCTCTTTTATGTTTTATGGGAGGAGCCAATCATCTCCAAGCCTTACTCCCAAGTCGACCCTGTTTCCTTAATTGTTCCTGTCTCCTGGCAGCTCTGCGCATGCGCACATTGGGAACAGGCTCCCGCTGTTCTTCTGCCTCGCTGATGTCAGATTCCGGAGACTCCGGAGGCAGCAAAGAACTACCAGATGGCCTTGGCCCCCTCTCTGCCTCCGACTCAGAGCCCTCGTCTGAGCCTTCCCTAGACTCTAGCACTGGCCCACGTTCCTCCCCAACCTCCTCACTGTCTGAATTTGCTGCCAGCTCTGTTGGCCGCTGGCGATCCACAACAGGTCATATCTGTGAAAAACGGTCATAGGTCACCTTTTTCAGTGCCATCGTAGCTTCGAACGGCCACTAAACGAATGCTTGTTATCTGTATTAAAAAATGCTGCTGAGGCAAGTTACCAAAACATAAACGACAAATTTAAAGGAACAGCCTTTACCGTAGCAAGAATCGGTGACCGAACAAGACGCAGCAAAATCCAGCTGAAGGAAAGAGTCCTCGTTTATGGCAATGTCGGTGGTGACCACGTAGCGAGTGCTGGCCTTCTCAATGAAGACCAGAGCATCTCCAGAAGAGCCACAGACGGGCATTTTGGTTCCACCTGGGTGAAGAAGCCATTTCTTGCTGTCCAAGGTGCTGAAATCGTCTTCCAGGACTGTGTTGCCGGAAATATTTCCACCGATAAGGATCTACAATACAGAGACAAACACCAATTTAATTTCCTGTGAGGAAGTTGAATCAAAAAGTCTGTGGAGATTCTCAGTCACTCCCAGGTCATAGTTGTCCCAAAGGTAGTTTTCAAAAGAACTGAACTTTGCTTTTCCTTGAAAACATTTAGCTTCGCATTCAAGAAAACACAGTTGGATCAGCAGCATAGAGAGAATAACAAGAAATCATGTCTCAGAGACTGTTGTGGCCCCGCCCTCTGAGCCTATCTCATCGGAGGAAGAAGGCTCCGAACATGAGGGAGAGGAGTCAGCCAGGCCTCCCTCTCCAGGCCCCTCCCCTCTGGCACTGTCTCAGGTGCCGGCCGAGGGAGAGGAGATTAGCCAGGAGCCAGGTGTCTCGGATGAGAGCGAGGAAGGAGAGCCGTCGTTCCTGGATGCATGCCAACGAAGGCGTGATAAACGGTTGCAGCAGTTAAGGAGGCGTGCTAGGGATTAGAACTGAGTCACTGGACCACACCCCAGAGACTATAAAAGAGAGGGTGGTGGCTGGTAAAACTCCGTGACGAACAAAAACTAACTTTGGCTAGTCACTTAAACAACGCCTGAAGCTGCCGAAGGGATATTGTTTTGCTGGACTATTTGCAATGCGTATGTAATTTTATGTTATCTGTTGCAGTAAAAGCTCTTGGCAGACGGTGCTTATATTGTTGCCAAGTTTGAGATAACGACCTGTGTGCGTGCCAAGTACTTTCTTAACCCTCGGCTGGCTGTGTTTGTGTGTGTGTGTAGACGGGGACAGATCAGAGACATGCTTCCTATTTTGGTAGCACTCTGGAATCAATCCAGCTTTGTTCAGGCTTCAAAAAATTACCGTGTTTCCCCGAAAATAAGACCCTGTCTTATATTTTTTTGAACCCCGAAATAAGCACTTGGCCTTATTTTCAGGGAGGTCTTATTAATTGGGGCGTGTGGAGGAAACCAGAGGAAATTTATTTATTTATTTATTTTATTTGCACGTATTTATATGCCGCCCTTCTCCCAAAGGACTCAGGGCGGCGAACAAAAGCAAAAACATACCATAAAAATCCAAATTAAAACCAGTTAAAATCAAATAATAATAAATAATAAAACCCAAGAATCTGAATCAGCCCATTTGTTGAAATAGCCAAGTCTTCAGGCCTCGACGGAAGGAACAGAGATCAGGTGCCATCTGGAGCTCGGTGGGTAACTTGTTCCAGAGGGTAGGGGTGCCCACAGAGAACGCCCTACCCCTGGACATCGCCAGACGACATTGTCTGGTCGACAGTACCCTGAGGAGAGCTGCCCTGTGAGAGCGGACAGGACAGTGGGAGGCAGGCAGGAGATGGTCCTGCAGATATCCTGGACCTAAGCGATGGCAGGGACCAGCTGAGCATGCGTTTAAATATTTTCGGGTAGGGCCTATTTTTCTACTTGCATTTTTTACGTGCTTTCGAACTGCTAGGTTGGCAGAAGCTGGGACAAGTAACAGGAGCTCATCCCGTTATGCGGCGCTAGGGATTCGAACCGCTGAACTGCCAACCTTTCGATCGACAAACTCAGCATCTTAGCCACTGAGCCACCACATCCCTTCATTCCTACGTTAGAAATTGAGATATTTCTTTGTAAAGAAAGAGGTTATTGAAAGAAGAGTTAGATTAAAACAGGCATTGCCTGTTTATTCTTTATTCAATATCGAATAAAGCTGAAAGATTAACGGAATGAGGCTATGGAACAAGGGACCATTTGCTCTGTAATTACTCTGTAATTTTTCCCGAGTTTTAATAAAGGGTGCTGACTGTCTCTTACATTCAGTATGATTTAATTTTTTAAAAATTGCCTGCAGTTATAAACAGCAGATATTCCACATAACAAGTTATGTCATAAACAAATGGGAGCCCGAAATATGCTTCGCAGGGAGGCAATTTTAAAAAAAACAAACATATTTTTGCTCCGAGCCTCTCCTAAATAGATTAAGAGGTGCAGTAAATTTTCCATAAATGGCTCTTAATGCCCTGTAAGCAAAGAATTATTTGCAAATTATTATCCCTAATTATATTGCGAAGTTGCTTAAGATTTTCTAAATTGTATAGAACCGCAATCAAAGTTGCTGGGAACGAAGCTTCAATACTTGGTATAATACAAATAATTCCAAGTTGAAATTAATAATAGATGCTTTAATGTTGCTTTTAATCTGAATGGAAAAGTAGCATACAGGTAGTGCTCAAATTACAATGGTTTTGTTTAGTGACCGTTCAAAGCTACAACAGCACTGAAAAAAACTGACTTATGGTCATTTTTCTCGCTTACAATCATTGTAGCATCCCCATGGTGACGTGATACAATTTAGACCCTTGGAAACTGACTCATATTTATGACGGTTGCTGTGTTCCAGATGCACTTAATAACAGTGTTGGTAACTTAATAACTGCAGTGCTTCACTTAACAACTGTAGAAAGGAAGGTCGTAAAATGGGGCAAAACTCTCTTAACCACTGTCTCACTTGGCAACAGAAATTTTGGACTCAATTGAGGTCGTAAATCGAGGACTGCTGGTACTGTTTTTTCCCCCCCTTGTCAAAATTAATTACTCGCCTACTTTTTGAAACCGTTTTAATATTATTTATTCTGATCAGATCCAATTAACAGTGAGTGACTGTGAACTTCTAATCACTTTTCTTCCTGTAAGCAAAAGGGAGGGGAAAATATATATTTGTATTGCTGGCATTTGTTCCTGCCATGAATTTGATATCCAAATATTTTTGGGAATTTTAAGCAGAGGCAGATGGCTCAGAATTAAACATCACAACATGTAAATATAAAACATAATTATTCCAACTCCTTCCTTAAGACTGTTTTTACAGTAGCTCTTGGCCACAGTAGGATCTGCTTTAATTTCCCCCAGCGTATAGTTTTTAGATGTATTGGAATTATAACTTTCTGAATAGCCATGTCTATTAAAACTTAAGTATTATTAATTTCCTGCTTAAGGATGGAGTTGGACTTGACAACTTCCAAGGTCCCTTCCAATTCTCCTATTCTATTCTATTCTATTCTATTCTATTCTATTCTATTCTATTCTATTCTATTCATTAATGTAGGGGTTTGAGACCTACCAATAGTGGTTTTCACTTACCTTCACTACCAGTTTGGAACTGTGAGTGCTCGTGCACACACTTCACTCGCGTGATGACTTGGGTGGGTGGAGCCTTCCACCACTACTACTATCGATTCACCCGAACCGGGGCGAACCGGTAGAAACCCACCTCTGAGACCCGCGCTCTGAGCAACGGGGTGAGCTCCTGTTCCTGCCTCAGCTCCTGCCCATCTAAGCAGTTTGAAAGCACGCAAATGCAAGTAGATAAATAGGTATCATTTTGGTGGGAAAGTAATGGTGTTCTGTGTGTCTCAGCATGTACTCAAGCCGGCCAAATGACCACGGAAATTGTTTTCGGACAGCGCTGGCTCCCTCGACGAAGAAACGGAGATGATCTCTGTGCCCTTAGAGTCCAACACAACTGGACTCTACTGAGAGGGAAACCTTTACCTTTTTTTGAAAAATGTAAACTATAGTTGTCATCCTGACAAATTTGTAGCATGGGAGGAGTGTCTGTGTTTGTGCGCTCTCTGCTGCAATCTCAGCCTCGATTGTGATGCACTTACAAAATAAGTAGAGCTTCGATCAGGATGCTCAACATCTTACAGATTTTGACTTCTCATGCAGAAACCATTGAGAAAGGCGACTTTAGAAGAGGGAATTAAAAACAATTGATGCAAAGTGCTTTGGAAAAAGCATCACGTGTACTGATTGACAGTTTCCCACCATTGGTTTTAAAAAGTTTTTTTTCCCCCAGCAACAATTTCCCATCATTGTCAGCTTGCATATCATTGAAAGGTTCTTGCCCTGCCTTCTGATGCTTTGGTAAATAGGCTGTCCCCCTCAACTCTGTGACAGCCCCTCAAATATTGGACCACTGCTTCAACGGATAATTAGAACTGCAGAAGAAACAATGGCTACCAACCTGCCTTCCACTGAGGACCTCTATACTGCACGAGTCAAAAAGAGGGCTGTGAAAATATTTACAGACCCCTCACATCCTGGACATAAACTGTTTCAACTCCTACCCTCAAAACGACACTATAGAGCACTGCACACCAGAACAACAAGACACAAGGACAGTTTTTTCTTGAATGCCATCACTCTGCTAAACAACTAATTCCCACAACACTGTCAAATTATCTACTAAGACTGTATTATTATTATTATTCTCATCCTTACTAGTACCTATCTCTTCCCAACTATATCCATGTTGCTTGTATCTTTACAATTTATATTGTTTTTATTGTTTCCTAGTATGATTTGATTGCTTATTAGTATTCTATGATTATCACTAAGGTATCTTATGATTCTTGATGAATATATTTTATTTTTTCTTTATGTACACCGAGAGTGTATGCACCAAAGACAAATTCCTTGTGTGTCCAATCACACTTGGCCAATAAAGAATTCTATTCATATCTCCCCTAGTCCTTCCTTTCACTAAGCTATACATTATAATAATATCTAGGAATGGAATAATCTTTTGACAGTATAAAGGGCAAAGAAACATCATGGATGGAACCCTGTTTTCACGGTTTTCATTTTTTCAGAATAAAATCTCAACTCGCAAAGCATCCCTGGTCTGCTCTCGAGTTGCCATAGGCCAGGAAGGATGGGAAACCGGCAAAATGGCATGGCAGCCAAAGACAGATGCACATTCCATGCTTATCTCTCTCAAGGCTGTATCCCAGGGTAACCCACAGCAGCCGAAGGGGAGTGACCTCTACAACCCCCGAAATTGCTCCGTTGGCAAATGTGATTGATGACACACCCTACTGGGAGTGGGGAAACAGGATCATAATTGGGGCATAAATTATGTAGGGTCAGAGCTGGCTTTACTTGGGAACGTGCTGACATGAAGCTCCGAATAAATAACTGGATTTCTTTTGAAGCTTGGCTCCAGAGGCTCATGATTTAATTAGGGCATCTGTCGGAACCCTGACATAAACAATAGTGCTCTACAAAGAATACTGAACATCGGGATTAACAATGTCTTATGTTTTCAGCTAAAAAGGATGACTGTTGTGGTCCGCCAGCAGCCTGCGGAGCTGTCAGCGGAGTCAGACAGTGAGGAGGCTGGGGAGGAACATGGGCCAGTCCTGGAGTCTGGGAAAGGCCTGGACGAGGGCTCTGCGTCGGAGGCAGAGATGGGGCCAGGGCCATCTGGGAGTGATGCACAGACTCCGGAGCCCCCAGAGTCGGGCAGCGGAGAGGCAGAGGAACAGGGGGAGCCTGTTCCTAGCGCACGCATGTGCAGAGCTTCCAGAAGGCAAGAGCAGCTAAAGTAAAAGGGATGACTCAGGAGTAAGGCCAGGAGATGATTGGCTCCTCCCATAAGGCTTAAAAGAGAAACAAAGACACTTGGGCCTTTTGCAGGAAAGCAACGTTGCTAACTCTGTTTCCAGTCGGCATCTCTTGTTTGTTTCTGAACTCCGTGGGGCTTTGCCAAGTAAGGCCTTTGGCAACGTATCAAAGAAGATAAAGTTTGGTGATTATCCCGAAGGACTTCTTCCGAAAGAGTTTTTTTGCAACTAATTGGGACTCAGCTGGGAATGAAAGTAATTCTCAGCTGTTACAATAAAATAGGTTTTTTTGGGACTAATTGTGTATTGTAATGACTCAGTAAGCCTAGGTCACAACAACGACTTACCTGGTCAATGACCCAAGGGCTGTAGAAATGCCCGTTCTCAGAAGGTTGCCACCAGCGGAGACGCGTAGAGGGAGAACGAGCTTTTAGAGGGATTTCCAAAGCAATGTACCGTCCGATATTGCTCGAATTGCTGAAGAGAAATTCCTGGAGTAGATTCCATCGGAGTCCACCATTAAGGGAATATTGTAACAACACCGGCTGACTCCTGGGATCGGGTACGGCTTTGCCACATCCCAGCCTCATGAAGAATTGCACAAATCTACATTAAGCACGAAAGAGCCCAAAATCAGAAGAAATATATTATTACTTTTGCTTGTACAAGACAATAAGTCATTCCTTTTTTTCCCACAATGAATAACACTATATTGTTATGCTATGCTGGGTATATATCAATGTGGCTTAAGCCTTTGCCTCATTTTATTTTAATACACCACTTGCTTTTACTCTTTGTATTTCGTTTATCCATTAGAGTGGCATCAAAAGAATTTTTTTTAAAGCTATTTTTCCTCCAGGCGTCAGCATGGAATCAATAAATAGACCGATTTACTTATAGAGCGAACGTCCTACTAAATTTGAATCTGCATTGAAATTTCGTGATTTTAGCCCAGAAACTTGGCAGCGTATAAAAGACAAAGCATAAAACACACAGCCCCGAGCTACATCCATTTGTTTATTAATATACATACCATCTTCCAGTTTTCCAGAAGATGGAAATGCAGCTTCGTAAAACCCAAAACGATGGGTAACGGTTCCAAGACAGGATTTATGGAATTATATACTGCTTCATTGAGTACATACAATGAAAGGCCAATTGCAGAGATCAAAGACATGCCAAAGAATAACGCTCAACAGATAACCAAAATTTATTTCACATCCATAATAAAATATTATTACATTTAAAATGTAAATACGGAGCTGGCATTTCTTCTTATTTTTTTCCCGTTATATTTAAGCTAGAGTTGCTCCATACATATAGCACAAAGTGACAGCTCTCAACAAGGGATTGTTTATCTGAATTCACAAGAGAAGGAAAATTAGGCATTTTTTCCTATCACTTCACAGAAGGCATTCAAATGCCACGGCCCTCTTGCTTTTAAGCGGGATAATTTGCCACAAAAACGCGATGTGTATTTTGTATTTTTCCAGTGGTTTCATTTTATAGGGACAGCTTACTGTCTAGTTGGAAAATGCAATACATATAAATTAAGCCCTGTAGCAGAGAAAAAGAAAAATATGCAGAAGAGGAAGTAGTGTGAAGCCTTATGTTAATAAAAGAAGTCCAGAAGACACAAAGGCCGTATTAAAATGCAATTTTTACAGAGTTTTAAATCTATTTTTCATCACAAGATACTGAGGGTTAAAATACATGTCTGAAGAAAATAGGAATTTTTTTTTAGATGCTTAAAGTCCGAGGGGGATAATTTCAAGCCCACCCAGTAACTTGTAAACAGGAGCTTTAATTTTAAACTAGTTTACATACTTTTTTTTGTTCTTTTTAAACCTCACTCATCACAGAATTTCTAATCAGGTGCAAAAGATGCTAGAATTTAACAGTTGCTATTTTAAATAGCTCAACACCAGCTTGTTCAGAATCTGGCAGTTATTAATCGTAAATAAATGTTGGCAGTTCAAAGCAAGCTTGAAAATATTTTGGAACTCCAAAAGGAAGTATCCAAAGACATCTTGGCAATAAACGCCACATTTTAAACATGGTTCACTGTCGAGCGGCCCATTACTGAGCAGTTAGTATGCAAGAGAGTTCAATCTGTTAAGATTAAAAAGTTATTTATACTACAGGAGATGTCTCCCCGTTAGTGTGGAAACCCATAAAGCCAACTGGAAAAGATTTATAGAAGATGCTTGGTTTGTAAAAAAAAAAAGAAAAAAAAGAAAATATTTCACAGGAAACTCTCTTCTCCAGGTAGCCCTCAATTTAGGACCACAATGGAAACCAAAAGTTCTGTGGATAACCGAGTAAGTTTTGTTCCATTTTACAACTTTATTTGCCACAGTTGTTAAGTGAATCACTGCGGTTGTCAAATTAGTAACCCGGTTGTAAAATGAATCTGGACTCCCCATGGATTTGCTTGTCAGAAGATCGCGAAAGGGGATCACGTGACCTTGGAACCCCGCAACCGTCATAAATACGAGCCACTTTCCAAGTGGCTGCGAATTCTGATCATGTGACGGTGGGATGTTAAAACAGTTTTAAGTGTGAAAGACGGTTCTAAGTCACTTTATTTTAGTGCCATTGTAATTCCGAATGGTTACTAATTGAATGGTTGTAAATTGAGGACTACCTGCATGTTTTATCTCCCAACAGGTGATGTGACAAGAATAGAATGATAAATAAAACTTTTGAAAATGGCTGAAAATGGCCCGAAAAACAGTCTGAAAATGGCTCAAAAAACAGCCTGAAAATGGCTCAAAAAACAGCCGAAAATGGCCCAAAAAACAGCCTGAAAATGGCCCAAAAAACAGCCTGAAAATGGCTCAAAAAACAGCCTGAAAATGGCTCAAAAAACAGCCTGAAAATGGCCTGAAAAACAGTCTGAAAATGGCCTGAAAAACAGCCTTAAAACAGCCCAAAAAACAGCCTGAAAAATAGCCTGAAAATGGCCCAAAAAACAGTCTGAAAATGGCTCAAAAAACAGCCTGAAAATGGCCTGAAAAAACAGTCTGAAAATGGCCTGAAAAAACAGCCTTAAAACAGCCCAAAAACAGCCTGAAAAAACAGCCTGAAAATGGCCTGAAAAACAGCCTGAAAATGGCCCAAAAATGGCCTGAAAATGGCCTGAAAAACAGTCTGAAAATGGCCTGAAAAACAGCCTTAAAACAGCCTGAAAAACAGCCTGAAAATAGCCCGAAAAACAGGGTGAAAATGGCCCCAAAAATAGTCTGAAAATGGCCTGAAAAACAGCCTGAAAATAGCCCCAAAACAGCCTGAAAATGGCCTGAAAAACAGCCTGAAAATAGTCCGAAAAACAGGCTGAAAATGGCCTGAAAAAACAACCTGAAAATGGCCCAAAAAACAACCGGAAAATGGCGCCAAAAATGGCCTGCAAAAGGCCCAAAAAACAGCCTGTTTTTTGGCTATTTTTGGGGCCGTTTTCAGGCTGTTTTCCAGCGCTCTGGTGCCTGCGAAGCCAGAAGAACAGCTGGCGAAGGCGTATGTGCCCACAGAGAGGCCTCTGCATGCTACCTCTGACACGTGTGCCATAGGTTCGCCATCACGGCCCTAGAGAAAGGAGTCAATGCAATTGTACTTGATCTATTTGTAAACGGGAGTTACCTAGCTTGGGATAAATCCAGATCTTGGGTCATCAACATCCGCAACCCTTCCTCGTTAAAGAAGAGATTGTTCCCTCCGGACAGGATTCCACATTTTCTGGATGGTTTTCCGCCACTCACCAGTAAGAACCTGTCCGACTCCAGTTGACCTGAATGCAAACAGAGGTAGACACTGCTTTAGGAATGACCCCGAGGCATTTCTGCTAGGAATTGGAAATTGCATGGGATATCTCAGCGTAAATGAATAAATGGCTTGGTCAATTTTCTATAAAGTTTGATTTTGTCCAGCGGATTAAATTTAGCCGGTCTGGATTAATGTTTATTTATTATTTACAAAGTGACGATTAAAAATGAAAATGGCTTTCTCAATCCCTCCCTTTTTACAGAGAGTCCTTGACTTACAACTACGATTGAGGCTAAAATTTGTATTGCTGAGCGGGACAGTTGTTAAGCGGGTTTTGCCCCATTTTATGACCTCTCTTGTCACCGCTGTTAAGTGAATCACTGCAGTTCTTAAGTTAGTAACATGATTGTCAGGTGAATCTGGCTTCCCTGTTGGCTTTGCTTGTCACATGCCTTTTGAAAGCATTTTTTTACAACCTCTTTGCCAAAGAGGTTGTAGAAAAAATGGTTTTAAAAGTAAAAAAAAAAAAAAGTTGGCCACACCCACCGTTACATTACACCCCCCCAAGCCACGCCCACAGAACCAGTAGTAACTCACTGATGAGGCCTTCATGAAAACAGTCGGACTAACATATCTATAAAGGAAGGAACATTTGGCCTGAACCAATGAGCTCATCTTGATGATTTGGCACCAGGACATTTTTTTCCCACAAAACCTAAGTACGTTCACCATACCTTCAGAGTGGAATGGCTCACTAGGTTACAATGCTGGGCTGATAATCGGCATACTTGCGTTCGAGTTCTGTTGCTGTCATGTGACGGGGTGAGCTCCCGTCACACGCTCTAGCTCTTGCAGTTCAAAAGTGGGCAACCACGAGTAGATAAATGTATACCACTTCAATGGGCACCTTCACAGGGACGTAAAAGATACCCCTAACTGGGCACCCCCCCAGGCAATGATGATGTCACCGGCAAATCCTTTCACCATGGAAGCACTTTGGTCTTAGTACTCTACCTTCAAAATCATCCTTGAGAAAATCAGGGTTCTTGGTGGTTATTCTACAGGTGGGTCCAGAATATCCAGGATCACAGATGCACTTGCTACCATTGATACAACTGCCGTGTCCACTGCACATCTCCTCACACTGTGGCCCTATGTATACGTTGTCAATGGCCCAAGTCACCGGTTGAGACCCAGCGGGATAAAATCCTTGGTACCATCTGAATCTCACCAAGCTGAAACAGACAGTTGCCATTAACTCTTATCATCTTGCGTTATAGGTTGTGCTTTGAGGATCGTTCCGTAGGTGGCAGCAATGCTAGCAAAACCATAACCAATAACTTGTTATACTTTTAGCGCCAGGAAAAGGAATGAAAAAGATTCAAGCTGCAAATTTATACATTTACAATTTATGTAAAGAACGGAAACTGCTGATCATTTCTCCCTTCACCAGAAAAGACAAAATACGTTTAATGCTGTCCTGGTGACAGAGTATGGGCAGTGGTGGGATTCAGCCGGTTCAGGATAGTTCGGGTGAACCAGTTGCTAAATTGCTGGCTGGCTCCGCCCCTTCCCCCCCTTCCAGGCGTCCCCACGTGCCCCATTTTGGCTCCCAGGTAAGTGTAGGGAGGCCTACTAGGCCCAAAACGGGCTGCGGGGGAGGGAGGGGTGGGGAGGCGCATCCCCCCCATGGCCTGTTTTTGCTCCCAGGAGGCTGCAGGGGGCCTACTAGGCCCAAAATGGGGCACAGGGAGGGGGGCAGCGTGGGCACCCCATGGCCCATTTTTGCTCCCAGGAGGCTGCAGGGAGGCCTACTAGGCTCAAAACGTGGCCTGCATTTGTTCCCAGGAGATTTTGAATGTACACTAATCGGCATACAATAAAATGGAAAATACAGTAATATTTCCTTTCCAACCCTATCATTGTATGGTCTATTACTAACTTCTGGAAAGTTCTGTAAGTCGTTACAGAAAGGCACTGGGCAGAAAAACAAGGAATGAGGGTTTTGGGCCATTCTACTTTTATAGCTGAGCTGGTGTTAGGTTAACATTGTTTTTTTTTTTAATATATACACACATTTTTGCATTGCTGCAAGTTGTCGTGAAAAGCATGATTCTATTTTTTCTACTGCTGAACATTCTTATCTCAAGGGTGTATCAGTGGTGGGTTGTCCCCGGTTCGGACCGGTTTGCAAGAACCAGTAGTAAAATTGGCAGGAGGCTCCGCCCACTGACCTGGACGTCATCAGGAAGTTTCTGCACATGCGCAAAAGCTTCTGCGCATGCACAGAAGTGCGTGCGCGTGGTCCCGGTGCAAACCCGTAGTAAAGGTAAGTAGAACCCACCCTTGGGGTGTATGTGTATGTGTGTATGTGTAAGGGGCTTGTGGTAGGTCAGTGCAGCAAGAAAATAAACTGTCCTTCATCAACGTTGAAAGTCGGGCAAAGAAAACAACAACAGTCCAATAATATGGGATATGCTTGTGTGGCTTTGGCACACAACTCTGGTAGGCATTTGGCTCTCCTCTTTGATTGACAGGCTGGAAAATTAGAGAAAAGGTTTGCGAAAGTGACTGGCAACAGCAGGGATGCTAAACATTCTGGGATAAAAGGCGATTAAAAAATGCATGTTCGCATTTAAAAATTAAATATTTTGGTTAATTATTAAACAACGGGGGGGGAAGGTGTTTCTTTAGTTTTGCTCCAGTTTTTCAAGGGATTTGTAAGGTCTGCTGTATTTTTTTTTTTTTTTTTTACCATTTTGTCACTCGGCAGAAATGCTTCCTCTCACAGTCGATATAGGCACGCTGATCGTTGGTGGAGATTCTCAACAATCCAGGTCATGGTTATGCGAAAGGTGCTTTTTTTTTCAAGAGGCAACTGGACTTTCTGGTTCTTCTTGGGAGACTTTTCGCTTCTCATCCGGTTCGCTGCCCGGTTGCTGGCTGGGCGTGGCCTCCTTGGCCTCCTGCACCACGGCCAGGGGGGAATGTTTTCACCCTCCCCAGGCTTCGGAGGATTTCCTCAAGCCTCCAGGAGGGCAAAAACAGTTTCCCCCGGGTACTGGAGGGCCTCTGGAGGCCAAAAATGGGCCCACTTCCAGACTTCCAGTACTTCCGGTAGGCCCCTTTTTCGCCCTCCCCAGGCACCAGAAGCTTTCCTCGAGTCTCCAGGAGGGTGAAATATAAAAAAGAAAAGAATGAATATGTCAATGTGTTGTGACTCCGACCCCCAAGCCTGTCTTATCGGAGGGAGAAGACTCCGAAGGTGAAGGAGAGGAGTTGGCCAGGCCTCCCTCTCCAGGACCCTCCTCTCTGGCAATGCCTCAGGTGTCTCCTGAGGGAGAAGAGATTGGCCAGGAGCCAGGTATCTCCGAGCAGTCGCAGTCGGACAGTGATGAAGATAAGTCTTGGCTGGATCCATGCCAGCGCCGGAGAGACAAGTGCACGCAGCAGAAAAGGAGGCGTGCCAGATATTAAGCTGAGTCACTGGACCACACCCCACAGGGGATAAAAGGGGGTGTGGTGGCCATTCAGGCTCTGTGACGGACAAAACTAAACAACTAGCGAGTCGCATTGTATCTCTGAAACTACGTTACCTGCCTGCCTTGGATTTAATATGGACTGGACTTGACAATTCTTTGACTTTGTGTATTTGTTTTGGTTTATCTGACGGAGGAGGAACACCTCCCTCTGTGAGTAAAGTTCTTGGCAAGCAGCTACTGGGTTGCTGCCAATCCTGTTATCGAAGGAATTTATTGTCTGCAAGTTTTATTTAACCCCTGGCTGACTGTTTGTGTGCGTGTGTGAGACGGGGACAGAACACAATGTATAGAAAATATAAAATTAATATGGGTCTTAATAAATATACTGTAATTAAGAGGGGGGACAAGAAGAAACTGGAATAATATAAAGGGAAAAGGGAGAAAATGTAAATACTAGAAGATCATCACGAAATGGTTGTTAAGAGAATATATTTCTATATATATCTATTATATATATATGTATGTTGTATGTCTTGTAATGTCATTTTATGTTATAATAATAAAAAATAAAAAATGTAAAAAAGAAAGAAAGAAAATGGCTTCCCCCAGGCTCCGGATTCCCTCTGGAGTCCAGAAACGGGCCCATTTCTGGACTTCCGGTAGGCCCATTTTTCGCCCTCCCAAATCATCCGCGTGGGCTCTGCACTTACCTGGCATCCAAAACAGGCAGTGTGGAGACTCCTGGGAGTAGTGGGATGGGGTGGGCGCGGTCAGCCAGTCCTTGCAACTGCCGATTCGGTGAACCAGATTAAATTAACATCCGGCTCACATGAACCGGTCCGAACCGGCTAAATCCCCTGGATTTATATCCCTTGCAGACAGCTGGTCATTTGCATTCTTTTTAGAGCGTCGTTGAGGCCACCTGAAGGTGTTTGCCAAAACCAAAGAGTTTTTCTCATAACAATACAATGACACTCCATTGGACAATGTGACCTGAATTAATAGGGGGAGGGAGAATTCTATACTTTAATTTTGTGGGTTTGTGCGGGAATTAGACAGATCTGGTTTTTCCCCCATCAGTGCCAAAATGATGTACTCAATAAAGTTTTGCATTTAGCGATTGGATCGTCTCGACCATGCTGGCTTTGGTTGGGTTTGTCAGTCGGAACGTTGACGCAGTTATAATCAGTTAACCTTGCTTACAGAATGCGGAAAAATAAGAGATAGAGATAGAAAATAGGTGAGGCAGAAAACAATTTCTTACCCACAAAGATGTAGCTTTCCAAAATGGATGACTTCTCTTCTCCAGCCCTGGGTTGTTCCGGCGTAGTAGGTGCTACTTGGATGATGCTCAACCGAGCAGAGAGAACTGAGATAGCTGCTGCTACTATAGCATAAAGGAAGAAGCAGGTGCCAGGTTGCACCCAAGTCTCGGGAGAATTCAAGTTTCACTGGGTCAGCAGAGGAGCTATCTGTCGTGCAGCCGATATTAATCTGAAATCAAACAAATCCTTCATGTTGAATTCAAGGATACTCAAGGATACTCAAGGATTCTCAAGGATACTCAAGGATTCTCAAGGATACTCAAGGATACTGAGTATCCCTGATTTTTTTTTTACTACTATGGACTAAAACAACTGTCTTCCTACATAATACTTGAATTTTTTTACGTGCTTGGGACAAGTAATGGGAACTCACACCGTTACGGAGCACTAGGGATTCGAACCGCTGAACTGCTGACCTTTCGATCGACAAGCTCAGCATCTTAGCCACTGAGCCACTGTCCCGCGTTTAGCCAGTTCCTAGATACTAATAAATCATACTAACATGATCCTTCCATAGCCTTCAAAAAAAATGCAAGATACCCAGAGAAATGCTAAAGCAAAGATTTTAAAACACTTTGGACAGCAAGAAGAAAAGAAAGCAGCGCTAAGTAAGTACCTCAAACTGAATTATGGTATTTTCGTTTACGTTCAGATCTCTCGTTGTAATCGAATGCTCTCCGACTTCACTTGAAACAAACACCATCGCCGAATCTTCTTCTCTGTTGCAGGAGCAAAAGTGATATATTTCACGATGTGGATTACTAACTTTAGTCAACGCTTCTTTTTTTCCTGAAACGTTGATAACTTGTTTGGTTCAGTACAGCAACCAAACAGGATGGACACACAGACTTTAACAGACTGCAGAAAAAACAACTGCAACCAGCCTGCCTTTCATTGAGGAGCTGTATACTGCATGGGCCAGAAGGAGGACTGAGAAAATATCTATAGACTCCTTGCATCCTGGACAGAAACTATTTCTACTTCTCCTCTCGGGACGCTGCTACAGGGCATTGCATGTCAGAACAACTAGACACAGAGATGGTTTTTTTCCCTTGTGCCATCACTCTGCTGGAACACCTGATCCTCATAGTACTGTCTTATGCCTAAGCATATTTACCCATGTAGTACGGCTGTATTGTTATTATCCTTCTCATATTTTCTACTACCTTCTCTTATTGGTATCATTATTATGATTATGATTATTATATATTCCATTGCTTTGCATGTACATTGAGAGCTTCTGCACCAGAGACAAATTCCTTGTGCATTTAATCATACTTTGTCAAATGAAGACTATTCTGTTCTGGTTGTTCCATTTAATTCCATTTCAAATATTCTATTCTATTCTATTCTATTCTATTCTATTCTATTCTATTCTA